ATGAGCACATCTTCCTTAGCAGAACTAAGAGAGGAAGCAGGGCAGTCCTTCTGACAGACCTGCACGCCCAGGGCCGGAGGGAGATGGCGGAATAGAATGGCCCAAGGGGGGGGCACCTGCAGGAGAGACTTGTTGGGTCTGTTGGCCTCCTCACCTGGAAGGGTGCTCCTGTTTGATGCGCAGCGAGGGGCAAGGAGCTCCTAGGTGAGAAGAGACGGGCAGGCGCTGAGCCCAGCGGAGGAGAGCTGAGCCAGTGGCTGCTCTGGCACCTCCTCTTCAAAGCACTGTTCTTTTCCTAAGGGAAAGCAGGTGAACAGCCCCCAACGGCGTTCATCTGGACACTTCACCCCTCCTTTTCTTCCCTCTTCTTTCCTCATCTCTGCCTCTCCAGTGGAGTAGACTCACTTCTGAGATTTTTCTAGTGTTGCTTTTCTAAATTACAGTGTAAGTGAGCAAGATCGGTCATAGTAAGTTGGGCCTCCTAGTTGTCAGGTGCCAGGGAACAAATGTGTACCCACAGAATCCAGCCTGTAATCCGAGGTTTACCTGCAGAACCCCTATTCCTATATGAAACAAAAGCTTTTAAGAGACTCATGGTAATAATAAGAGCTAACATTTATGAAGCACTTACCCTGTGAGAGGCATCGTTCCGAGTACTTCGTAAGAACTCATTTAACTCTCACAATAAGACTCAGTCATATAACCTGGGTCCCATACCTTTGCTGGTTGAGGCAGTACCTGGGAAGCTGACTGCAGAGACCACACTTAGGCCACCAAACCATCTCCTCACCTGTCGGGCTCCATCTCGGTGGGCCCTGTCAGGAGTTATTATGAGACTTAGAATTGGCAGCAGTGAAACAAGCTTCTCAGCTGTCGTAGTGGTCCAGAGACAGAAGGTGAGGGCCTCAGCTGGGATATGACAGGGCCAGGGCATTGTTGCGGACAGGTTTAAGAGCTGCTAAGAATATCAAAACCAGTGACTTAATGAGAGGGAGAAGCATAGATGTTTATACCAGGAGGTGGGTGCCCCAGCGGAAGAGGGGACCTGCTGGGTGAGGGGCTCCTAGGAGGCATCCAGAGATGACATCTGTCCAGCGCGCAGGTGGATAAAGTGGCCTGGAAGTTGGGAGAGAGGAATGGGCTGAAGATGTAGCCTAGACATACACATGTTTATTGGAGAGCTCAGTGGCAGAGGAATAAATCCCTTCCACTGGAACGGGCTTCTTCCAAGAGGTGGGCTTTGAACCAGCCCCTGAAGAACTGGGATGTCCTGAGAAGTGGGGGATGAGGAGAGGAGGAGCGGGAGGTAGGGTGTGAGTGTGATGACGAGTCTGCCTTAAAGAAACCAGAAGCCAGGTGCACATGTGGGCGTGGAGAGGAGCAGGAAGATGATCAAGGGGGAAGCAACAGAAAGCTTTGGAATGATTTTTGGTGATGTTTGCCTCCTAAATCTGGTAAAACATGGATATCTTTTTGAAATGTTTGAGCCTGATGTTTGAAGTTCATATCCCTTTATTCCTCCAAAGTATTCTTAAACTCAGTGTAACCGGGAGGTGTGTGTATCACACTGTCTTTTTTTCACATCTTACTGTTAACAGTTCTAATACAGACCGTCTGCTGGCCGCGTGGGCCAGCATGAGACCTCTCGTGTTGTCAGTAGGGACATTCAAAGGGACGAGTGAAGACAGGTGGTGAAAGGCTGAGTCTTGAGTAAGCACAGAGAAGGAGCAGGGCCGCCTGTGTGTCCAGGGATGGTGAGAGGCCGGGTGGGCTGCCGGATGAGAAAGCCAGTGGAAGCACCCTGCTGGGGCAGACCGCGGACTTGGCGCCTTCTCTTCACACGGGCCTCATCTGGTTTGGTTTGGCGGGCGTATTCCTTCTGGCGATGTCACAGTCTGGGGGCGAGCGTGGGCCACCACAGCTAGGCCATTTACCTCCTGCAAGGCTTACAGTGCTGCCTTTGCCTAGCTTTCCCTTCAAACCTCCCAGAATGGACAGCAGAGGAGTATGCCTAAAGGTTTTAAGTTTAGGAGTAGGATGTGGTTTCTCCTCAGCTTTACAAAGTTGCTGAAAGAAAGCTTAACAATACGATTTTCTTTCTGCATCATTAGAGTAAAATATAATGACCATCAAGCGTTTAGAAAATACAGAAGGAAGAGATGTGAATACTCATATCTGACAATCTCCATTAACATTGATATATATTTTGCCAGGCTTTTCTCTGTTGTAATCTCTTTTCATATGTTTTGCACAATTACGATCAAGTCAGATATACAGGTATCTTGCTTTTTCGACCTAATGTTATGAAGATTTTTCCATGGCAATATAGATTTTGATTTCATACATCAACGGTGAAACCCTTTTAGCAGAGGCTTATGAGTAAATCAAGGGCCTCTGGATTGTAGCCAGTGGAGAGGCGGCCACTGGGGTGGAAGGCAGCAGGGTCAGGAGACCCACCCAGCCCTACCTGACCTTTTCAAGGAAGTGGGGGTCGCGGGCGGGGTGAGGCTCACACTGGTCCTTAGGAAATCCATCCATTTCCCCTGCTAGCCTGCTTTTAAGAGTACCAGCCCAGCCCAAGAGTGATTGGAAGATTCAAAACCCCCCAGCTTCCAGGTGGTTCCTGCAGGCCCTGACGTTGACCTTATTTAGCAGGAAGATGCCCGGACCCTCCCATAGCCCTGGACGTGAGACCATTTGAGCTGCTTCACCTCTTCCTTAAACCGACCAGGGAGCAGAGTGAGCTGCCATTTCCCCATCGGGGGCAATGGTTTGCCAAGTGACCCGAGCAAATAGTAACCCCGCAGCCCTGTTTGTGGCTGCCAAACAGGCAAGTAATCATATGGTGGAAATTATAAGTAGCTCATGATCTCCAGAGTCAGGCATTTTTTAAATACATAGGTTAGCTTGTTAGTTTGTTAGTTATGGGGAAGATTTATGTGATCCGTTGACGAAAACAGGATCCAGGAAAGTGGGTTTTGCAGAGCTATTTACTACCCGGCCTGGGTGTTAACAGCTCATTGTCTCCAAGACATGAACAAACAGCTTGTTTACTTGCAGAGAAATGTACTGTCAACCAGAGAAGAGACAGTTTTTTCTCCCTCTAAGTTATTTGAGTGAGCCATAAAAACTAAATCACCCATAGTAACAACAGAACAGCTTAAGCAATCATTTATATTAAATATGAGTTTATGGCCATGCTTTTCTCCCCACTTGGCATGTTCCCTCCGTCTTAATCTGACCCGAGCTGTTTCAGGATTGTCTTCGGCGTGGCGCATGGGGAAAGCATGTGCTCTGGAAACAGGCCCACTTGTTTCTTGAGTCCTGGCACAAGCCCTTCCCAGCTGCGTTTTCTCGGCAATGAGAAAGGTAGAGGCAATCGCCTATCTCCTTGGGTATCTGGGAGGATGGTTTGAGATGAGAATTGTGAAGTACTGAACCCAGAGGGCCAGCCCTGGGAAGCAGTGGTCAGTGTCACTGCCACCACGGCTATGTGGGAGGTCTCTGTGCGTGGTGGGCCTCGTGGCCTGGTCTGGCCAGGTGTGTGGAGCCTGAAATGAGAAAATGGATGCCCTTTGACATACACCTAAGGGTTCATAAGGAAAAAAAATAGCCAGCTTTTCCGAAGATTCATGGTTCTCAAATTCATCTTGAGTGAATGAAAATCTCTTTTTTTTTCCCCCGGCCACACCTCGTGGCTTGCAGAATCTTAGTTCCCCGACCAGGGATTGAACCCAAGCGCCTGCAGTGAAAGCTCCAAGTCCTGACCCCTGGACCACCAGGGAATTCCCACTGAGGATCTTAAGTTCACACTTCCTAGGCCATTTGCCTAACCCCTGGCTAGAAACCATCCAGGCCTGTCGAGCTGCTGGCAAAACGGCCTTTCTATCCTTTTTTCAGAATTTCCACCTGAATGCATTTGGTTTTACTGCTGGCAGAAGGGTGCCTGTAGACTTCAGCAAAGATTCTGTGATCTCTTGAGAGGGTGGGTACTATACAGATCCCTCGGGTGTACAAAGGGGAATCATGCCAGAATCCCTTTGTGGGAGAGATGGACACCCAGTTATAACAGCACGCGGACTGAACAGTTTCCTGCAGTGGTGATTCTCCCGTCAACCCCAGGCGTGCTTCCTGTGCCGGCAGCCTGTGCTCAGCGCTGCTGACCCACCCAGACGTGGTATGTGGTGGGACTGCATTCCCAGGCACAACGCTCCTGCACCTCCACGTTGTCAGCGTCCTCCCCGGAGGTGTGTTTCTCATCAACACTAATTTTTGCCTTTTATTTCTGACTTGTGGCAGCTTGTCTTGTGAGCCCTAGATAACAGAAAGGACCCATCCCTCCCTCTGGAGTCTCAGTCCAGTGCAGGCCAGGGACTGAGTGGGTGGCACAGTGTTGCCCTGAGTCTCGTGAAGATGGGCTCTGTCCGGGCCAACCCTCGTGTTCCGTCCCGTCTCTCCTGCCGTGTCTGTTTTAAGCGTGATGGAAGCATCCACCCCTAGGCGCTCTGGGTCCAGGCTCTTATCAACTTCTTGACAAGTGGCAGAATTTAAGAAGAAAACTGCTTCATGCCCTCACACGCCTTATTTCTTTACCCATGAAGCCAGTCTTTCTGTGGTGGGCAGGGAGCATACAGGAACCCAGTTTGCAAGTGAGTCTTTCTTCACACTTCACAGACAGCTGCTTCTCAGCAACGGTCAGGTCTGATTTGTGCCTGCAAGGACCTGTGTTTCGAAGTAGAGCTTGTGTGGGATTGAAAGACTTTGTCTGCTGGGCTCAGGATTGCAGACGGCACCTGACCCCAGGGATGGGTCGGCTCATGAGCACACAGCCCCCACTGGGCCAAGGTCAGGGGAATTCTGTCCAGCCAGCAGGACTGGACTTCATCAGCCACCCGGCCCCTCTCAGGGGGGCGTCCTGGTGTCTTTCGTCTCCCGGTCGTGAGTTGGTCTCGGGCACCACAGATCACAGTTGACCGCTGTTTCCCTGTTTCCCTCCCCAGCCTCCCAGTGCAACGTTAGCCTGAAGAAGCAAAGGAGCCGCGGCATCCTCAGCTCCTTCTTCTGCTGCTTCCGAGACTACAATGTGGAGGCCCCGCCAGGCAGCGGCCCCGGCGTGCTTCCGCCGCTGGTGGAGGAGAACGGCGGGCTCCAGAAGGTCAGTGCGCATGCTCCCCTGCCTCCTCCGGGTCTCTGTCCCATCCCTGACGAACATCCTTAGGAAGACTCTCTGACAGTGTGTGTACAGCCATTAACTTAAAGATTTGAAATTGCCAAAAAAGTTCATCATTTTGTTACAGGTTATGTCAGTCATTCCCATTTCACAACGAAAGAACATATTTGATGCGATTTAGAAGAGTCACTTCACATTTTTATCACATTCTGTTGTGGGAGGTTGAACATATGAAATAGTTAACCAGGAATAGACAAAGAAATGGAAAGTCCAGAGGAGAAACAGAAACTTGGAAAAAAGCAGATAATAAATATAAGTGGATTTAACTACCTTGTTTAGTCATAAACATTTGTTATATATTCTTTTATACATATCAAATAAAAAATTTTATGTCAGATCATCACAATAGGTAAAAACAAGTTCTACCCACATGCTGTCTAACAGACATCATATTCAAAACCAAATGATTCAGAACAGTTCAAAGTAAGAGAATGAGCAAAAAAAAAAAAAATTACAGAAGTATATAAGCCAAAAGGAAGCAGGGATAACAATAGTAATCTCATGTCACATCAGGGAAAAAAAGGAATATGTAAATCACACTGGCTCTTAAAATTTTCACTCAGAGGTAACAAGACTCATTTCAGCTTACTTTTTATTGGCCAAAGCAATTCCCATGATTATACTTAACTTCAAAGAGCATGAAAGTATAATCTTACCATGTGCCCAGAAAGAGAGCTGGAATTATTTGGTAAACAGTGCTAATGACTTAGAGCAGGTGGCTAATAGTTTCTGACCCAGCATCCAGCATACAGTAATACCAAAAAAAGGTAGAAAATAAAGAGATGGGCAAAGTGTACAAAGCAAATCAAATAAACAGAAAGCAAAAGTGGCAATGTTAAAATCAGTCAAACAGAATTCAAGGCCAAAAGCATTGAACAAGAGAAAGAGGGACATTTTATGTTACAACATCTAATACATGATGTATATAGTAGCCATAAACCTTTACATACCGATCAATAGCCAGATACATAGTAGAATATCATTTGAGCATGATTAAAACCTGACTTATAAAAATAAACAGCCAATAACATAGGAAAATCATTGGCAGTTCTGGCTAATATATGTAATAAGATAAGAAAATGAAACGATTGATATAAATATGGAAAAGATAGGAAGCCAATTTTATTTGCAGATGGCATGATTATTTGCATTGAAAACCTAAAATACTACCAAAAAATGAGAATTCACTAAAAGCTTTTGATATGGTGGCTCTTATTTATTGAGAAATGTGCTGTGTTTCTGAATAGAAAGACTTAAAATTGACATAGAAGAAAAACTATCTAAGAATAGCTGAGAAATTTTTGGAACAATATAATGAAAGATAACTTGCCTTAAGAGATATTAAACCTTACCCTCTGTTAATGTCGAAAAATATATCAGTAGAATTTGTATAATGAAATTTGCCTGTAAACCCTGTCACAGCCCTGTATTCTGATATCTTCCCTCAATGTTCTTTCGTTAAACTATCAACTTTTACAATTTGAAAATCATCGCTATTGAGAGTCCCTGTTAATGAAGGGGACATAGTTTGTACCCTAGACCTGTAGAGGATTAAAAAAAAAAGTGAGAAGAATCAGCCCAGCTGGGCCAGCACCCTTGAAGTCAGACCTGCCCCAGCCTGGGTCAGGTTGTGGGAGTGACAGACCCCTGCTGGCCCAGCGACAATGGCCGTGTTCCATGACAAGGTGGAGATTGAGACTTCCAATTTGACAAGGACTCGGGGACGTGTTTCTACTCCTGCCCGTGTGGGGTAATCTCTGCATCATCAAGAAAGGTTTAAAGAATGGGGAAGATGTGGCAACGTGCCCTAGCTGCTCTCTTCTTGTGAAAGTGATTTATGACAAAGATCAGTTCATGTGTGGAGAGACAGTCCCAGCCCCTTCTACCGACAAAGAACTAGTTAAATGCTGAAGAAGACATGTTAGATTCCAAAGCCTGAACTTTAGGAAATGAGCCAAGCTAGAAAAATCAAATGCAAAGTCAATAATAGCTTCTTCATGGATACAGTCATTTTGTAGTTTGCTGTGGGTGCTTCCCATTAGGTGCCAGGTTCATCTCCAGTTGAAGAAGCAAGTCCACTGCATGACATACCTGGATTTTGTGCTTAGAACTTTGAATTGGAATTGTTCTTAATTTTCCATCCAAACTTAAGATAATTTCAAATCAGTGCTTTCTTTCCCTCAGTTTTGTTATTTTTATATCTTAATGCCTAATTACTTCATTATCTGACAACAACATCATCTACCTCAAAGTCATTAGGATTATTTAGTTTAGAAAGAGATTTTATTTTTTAGTTGGTTATAAAGACTATGAAAATCAGCCCTTTCTCTGTAATAAAAAAAGAGAGGGGGGGGGGTCACTGCTGTCATAGTAAAAGTTGTGTTTAATGAATACCTGCCTAGATCAATGGCTTAAGAAGGTGGTGTTGAAGAACCTTCATCCTGGAAGGTTTCCTGGAACCCTTAGCTATATCTACCAGGGAATAAAGGTCTTTAAAGGCACCTCCTGCAGCAGAGCTGGACTTATACCTGTACCTAGTGTTCATTCATGGAAATGTCCTTCGGTTAACACTTGTCAGAGTGGCTTTTTAAAGCATTAACCATGAGTAGTGCATCATTTGCATAATCCATGACCCTGCAGTCTGGGAGACCAGACCCTGTAGAAAGAGCCCATGTCAAAGTGGGGCAGCTCTGCCCTTTGCACTTGTCTATCAGGACACTGGAACGTAAAACCCAGGGTCAGTAGATGTGGAAGCCAGTTGCAGGCCTGTCTCTACCACTTCCTCCCAAGCTCTCTCTGTCTCTTTGAGCTCAGCCTGCTGGAGATGTGGCTAGAACGATTCCATGCATCGTGTATATTTACTGTGTCCTAGAGGAAAGCTTCTGAGCAGTGGCCTGGTGTGACAGCCATTGCGACTGTCCCAATTACAGCCTGAACTGAAGACCAGTTGCCCCAAAATGAAAGTATGAAAGTGTCTGCAGCCCCTGGCCAGAGGCGAGGAGGAGTTGGCACTCTGAAGACTCCAATGGCAGAGACCATGGAGGACTGCTGAGGGTGAGGCCAGAGTGAATGCCATTGCTAGATGCTTACTTATCCATGCATACCCCATGTTCACACATACACACATAAACCTCTAGGGCCATTTTCAAGGCCAAATACCTGTCTAAGGTAGCAGCTTTGGTTGTGGTCTGTTTCATCAAGCCCTTCCAAAGGAACCATTTAGTGGTGTTACCTCTCACCTCACTGACACATTCACTTAGTCTAAAGATACACTTGTGTCTGGAGGCTATTTGCCATCTCCCCACTAGCACTTTGGTTCTCCACTGGAGATGACTCTTTCCCCTAGTGAACATTTGACAGTGTCTGGTGACATCGTGGGGCTTCCCTGGTGGGTCAGTGGTAAAGAATCCACCTGCCAGTTCAGGAGATAGCAGGTTCAATCCCTGAGTCAGGAAGCTCTCCAAGAGAAGGAAATGGCAACCCACTCCAGTACTCTTGCTTGGAGAATCCCCATGGACACAGGAGCATGGTGGGCGACCATCCATGTGATCACAAAGCGTTGGACGCAACTTCAAGACTGAGCGCGCGCACACACACACACACGTACACTCAGAGACATTTCTGTTGATGCTCCAGGGTTTCTACTGGCTTCTAGTGCCTGGAGGCCAGGGATACTGCTGAGCACCCTACGGACCACAGCACAGCCCCGCAGCAGAGTCCTCAGGCCCTGAATGTCAGTAGTGCAGGCTTGAGAGGGTCCTCAGTGACCCAGTGGGCTTGTGAGCCTCTGGTTAAAATCTGTCCCACCAATCTCCAGATGTTAGGAACAATAGTATTTTAAAAGCTTCTGAAATGCACTTCTCTGCATAAGTTCTTAAAAACTGAGATTTGATTTGTTTGCGCTGTTATGTTGGAGAATAGCACACGTCTGCCTTTAATGATGACAGTCAGTTGAGAATCCTTAAGACAAGCCCCCAGTGTCCTGAGGAAGGAAAGAGCTGTCAAGAGTATGTCAGGAGGAAGCAAGAGCTACTGTCACACTGCAGAGGTGATGACAAGGGGCTGGAGATAATCCAGAAGTTGCTAAATGGTTCTTAGAGCAGAGATCAGAAAGGTACCAGCCACCTGCCACTGTGTCAGTCAGGTTTGACTTCTTCTCATGAGACCCCTGTCCCCAGTGACCACCCTGAATAAAGAAGGATACACTTTCCCAATTCCTTCCATGTGGAAGATCGTGAACCATGCACCTCCTTATCAGGGACCATGATGCTGTGACTCACTGCCTCCCATCCCATCAGCTGAAAAAGAAGAAACACAGAAACTGGAAATTCTCAGTGGAGATAAATTTGCTTTTGTATTAGCTTTTTTCAATGATGCTAACACAAAGTGTTTCCATGGACCAGGTTTGGAGTGACTGGCATTCTAGGGATAAGGGATTGTTGAGGCCCTTTCTTGGGGCCTGAATTTTCCGAACACTCCCCACCAATACAGGTTCTGTTCCCTTTCATGGGAAAGCTCTCCCTTGCCTGTGTCTTTGGAGGGTATTCCTTGCACCTTGCCTGTCCCGTCTGCCCAGTCCTCCCCTAGAAGAGGGCCAGAAGTGGCCAAGGGGGTCCTCAGAATCTGGTTAAACTGTCTCCATTTCCCTGTGTATCATATTGACTTGAGGCTTTAGTCTTTGGAGAAAAACTTACTTACATGAAGAAACAAGCCAGCTGTGAGATTCATGGATCAAAGTAAAATATGGGTTTTCCTTTTTCCTTTTCAATTAAGGATTAAATTCCTGGGAGTAAAGGAGGCGCTATTTAAATAAACACGATGACTTATGAGCCTCAGGAACCTGGCCTGGTTGGTCAGGGGAAGGAGTGGCTGGCAGGCAGAGTGGAGCCCAGTAACTGAGGACTATTCTTGGGTTCCTCCTGCTCATTAAATCCCACCAAGGTACAGAGAACAGGAGGTCATATGGCTGCAGTATTCAAGAGTGCTTTGAAGTTTCTTTTGAGAATATGATCTATTTCTCTTTAAACCTGACAATGATTTTGTTTTTTCTTTCTCCTTAGGGTGACCAGAGGCAGATCATTCCCATACCAAGTGTATGTATATTTATCCAATTTTAACACTCATAGAATCTTATAGCTTTGGGCCTACTAATATAAAATACTTTTTTAAATATTTGGCTTATATTGAGCTTTTTAATCGTGGTATAAAGAGCTCTGTTGTGTTTGGGGGCAGGGGGGAAGTGAAGCTACATTTTAAACTGTGAGCAGGGAGTTCTGAGAACTTTCTCAAGAACAGCAAGGCAACCAGCATCTATTAACCAAACTCTGACCTTTCTCTCTGAGAAGGACCTCCTGAATAAGTTTACGGCAGCACTTCCTCCTCCCCGCCTCCCCATAGACTGGGAGACCATACTTTTGTCCCAAAGAGGGTTTTTGCAACAGGTTCTGTCTCAGTGGTACCAGGTTCACAAACGCCCCCTCCTAGAAGGGAGCAGGCCATTTCTGATTGTTCACGTGTCAGTAGCTTGGCCATGGCTCCATCAGAAAAATCAGCCCAACTGTATTCAGAGACCTTGCAGGACCACCCCCGACCCATTCCCTGATCCCGCCCTGACTCTCCCAGGCTGGCTGTACTGTAGCTCTGCCACAGCTGGGCCTTCCCTTGAGCCGCCAACTTCTGTCCTGGAGTTCAGGAGACGGACCAGAGTCTGACCCCAGTACAGGCCGGTCCTGAGACTGCTGCTGTTCCCACCGCTCGTCCTCTTCCTTCTGCTCTGACAGACGAGCCAGGTAGCCTGAGGCCAGTCAGCAGGAAGCATTGATCTTCGGTCAGTGATCAACTCCCGAAAGAAACCTGCAGTTGAGATGCCAGTATCAAACAAGACCTTTCAAACAGTCTACGTCCTTAGAGAAGGACTTAGGTGTGTTTTTCCCAGATGTCCTGAAATTGGTATTCTAATCCATAATCTGATTCAGATTGTCTGTTTGAAGTCTGTTCATCTGTCTTTCCTTGGGCCTTTTAACATATTTTCTGGGAGCATCCAAGAGACACCGATCTTACATTGAAAGAAAGGATGGATTTCTTTAGTACAAATTGACTCCAAATTTGGTAGTGGATATCACTTATGAATTTTTTTCCCTGAACTTTTAACTCTGCATTGATTTGCAAGTTGCGTGAGTTTATGGAGTGATTGTGACTTTGCCAGCGTGCCTAGGGTTTAGGCTTTGTTGAGGACTGACTTGGATCAAAAAGATGGATCAATCAGCACAACTTCTAATCCAGTGTTTGAGTAGGGTACCCAGTGGGATTGCTACCAGGGGTCTCTTTGTAATGTTTATAACAGAGTAGTTTTGTATATTTTTCCTGCAAGCATGTCTACAATCAACAGGTGACAACAGGTGGCATCTCTCCCCCTACCTCTGGTACTCTGATAGCTCTGGATTTTTTCCAGAGTTAATTCACGACTATCTATAAAGTTAAGTGCTGAATCAAAGTATTTGTCAGGGCAAACACTCTACTGAGACAAATGACCCTTTTTCCACAAATCTCTTTCTAGAATCCCAGAATGAAATAGCCAAGAGGGAAAAAGACGTCTTTTGTAATTTAGCTCAGTGTTAGGTCAGTAAACTGCACACTGTTCCCTACATGTGAGACACTGGGTCAGGCTTTAAGACTCTGAAATACCTTGCAGGAAAACAAAGTAACTCACATCTTTGAATGATCACCTCCAGAAAAGCAGGCCCACTGATGGACACCACATGTGCTCCACTGGCTGTTTTAGCAGGCAGGACCGAACCCAAGCCCATCTGGAGGCCAGCTTTGCCAAAGGATTTGAGCCTTGGGGTCCCCTGCGAAATCTGCACCTGCCTGTCAAGGTTGCAGGTCACATAAACAGTAACACTGCCCTGTGGTCCAGAAAGGGCAGTGGTTAGTACTGAGAGCCCCCGAGAGCTCGGAGCACTGCTCCGCAGGATCAGAAGTCCAGGTTTGTACTGAGCCTCCAAACTAAGTCCTCATACTCTGTGAAAGCCTTGTCCAGGCCATGAAGACACAGGTGCCCAGAGGAGGTCCAGCTGCAGGCCCATCACTGCTGCTCACCTCACAAGTCCTCCTTTTGTTATTCACACGCTGTAGTTTATATGTGCAGGTTGGGTCTTTGGATTTTGTTTTTGTTTTTTTTACTAACCTCGTTTTTTCATCATTCAATTTTTCATTCATACTTTTTAATTTTTACTTGTCTTTGACTGTGCTGAGTCTCGCTGTGCAGACCTTTCTTCAGTTGCTGCAGGCAGTGCTGCTGTCTGTGTTCAGCGTGCAGGCTTCTCACTGCTGTGGCTTCTCTCGTTTCAGAGCACGGGCGCTGGGACACAGGCTCAGTAGTCATGGTAGACAGGCTTAGTTGCTCCACGGCCTGTGGGGTCATCCCAGATTAGGGATCAAACCCGTGTCTCCTGCGTTGGCAAGCAGATTCTTTACCACTGAGCCCCCAGGGAAGCCCTCATTCATATTTTTTCATTATTCAAAGTCATGGTTTAAAAAAAATACTGAAAGATTAAAATAGAAAAGAAAGCCCCTAACTTGATCTCACTCCTTAGAATACCCTTCTAGTATTTGTTGTATATCCTTCCAAAAACTTTCTAAATCAACACAGGCATCTTTAAACAAGTGAGAGTATTACAAATTGTTTTTCACTTTTAACAGGATACCTTGAATGTCTTTCCAGATATTAGTCTGTAGCAAGCTGCCTCATTGTTTTACATGTGGTTGATGGCATTTACTCAGTTTCCACTTTTGTGCTCTTAAAAATAAATATTCTTGTGTTTGTGCACCTGAGTGATAGTATCTAGGTGATCAGTTCCTAGTTTGTGGAAATGCTAGGTCAAAGGGTATACTGTATGTTTTTGGTAGATTAAAGGCAAATTATCCTCTAAAAACCTGATTTAAATTCCCACCAAGAGTCCATTCCTTTATCAAAAATGGTGGTTAGGAAATACTTTAATCTTTGCTGATCTAAAAGTAAAGAATGGTATTGATTTATTGCTTTAATTGGTAGTTCTTCCTGAATGAGTATGAACATCTTTTCACAAGTTTATTGCACACATGTATTTCTTCTTCCCTATTCATTTATATTATTATCTTTTCAAATTTCAAGGAAATTAGCACTCCCCCCTAAATTTATGATATATCTTTTGGCCTTGTCCACAATCATTTTGACCACAAAGAAGTTTAATTTTGTATGGGGAAATGTGTTCATCTTATCTTTGATGACTTCTGAACTTTACATCATGCTGAGAAAGATCTCCCCACTCTATGACTGTGACCCACATCTTCTGCTAGTATTTTAACAATTTCATCATCACACTTAAGTCTTTGATCCATCTGGATTATGTTGATGTAAGGTGTGAAGTCGAAATTCACCCTAGTTTGCTTTTCCAGGTAGCCCAAATTCAGCTTTACTTGCTTTTCCAAGTGGCAAGTCAGTTGTCCCAGCATCATGTACTGAGTAACCCATCTTTTATACACCTATTGGAAGTGACATCTCTATCTGGACTTGGTTTTAAATGTGCTACTTAGTAACATTTGTCTCCCAATGGGGAGCTGGGGTTTGAGGACCTCTACACATCTAATTAGAAGCCTCCTGGTCTGTCTGGTAAAAGTCAGGTATCAAAGGGTAAGGAAAAAGGCAGAGGAACAGTTTGGGAAACAGTAAAGTTTGGTGGTGAGGCTGAACGTGAGCACTCAACGCTTTGGCCCCAGTGTAGACCTGACCCCATAGTTCCCACACTCTTGCTGGAATCACAGGCCAGCCTGGTGCTCCTAGCACCAGTGAGACAGTGCAGCTGAGCCATAAAAATGTTGAAAGAGGAGAGGAGAAAGTTGTTTTCTAACAGTTCAGTTTCTGTGCTGCTGGCTTTATAAGCCTTTAATAAACAGCAAACCTTATGAAAAGCATATAAGCAGAGCAGCTTATATATAAGCATATATATAAGCATATATGCTTATATAAGACACACCTCATTAGAGGTGGTGTCGAGTCCCCTTTGCCGACAGCCCTGAGACTCTGCCCTTAGCTCGGAGGCATGGGGATGGTGGGGGACAGTGTTCAGACTCAGAGCCTGAAAACTCAGATGCACAGGCCACCATCCAGTGTCCCAAGAAGAGGCACTGCATTTGTAAGATTTGTGACAGTGTGGTATGGTGTGAGTACCTTAGATCAACTATTCCTGGCTGCCAGTTCATGACCAAAGACAGGACTGTCACTTCCACTCCCAGGAAGATCACTGGTGTGAGTGCCCTCCCCAGACCTACCCCCTCCCTCACCCCCCATGATTTCTTGCTCCCATTCCCACCCCCGGCCATGCCCACCCATGCTTTGGAACAAGTCATCGTGTTCAGAAAAAGCTCTTTTTGATGTACTTCATGTTTCTCATATTCTTCAGCTTTATGATGGCCTAAGAGAAAATTTGCCTCGGGACATTTTTTAGTTAATGATTCAAGCATCACCTGAGCAGATCACTGAAGTCACAAAACACTACTGCAATTATCTAGTGTCCTTGCATGTTCCAAGGACACAGCAGCTGTCCGAAAGAATTCTTACCCATGGTCTGAAGAATTTGCATTAATTTAAAGCCGAGCTTTCTGGGAAGCTGCGTACATTTAGGAACCAGGCTAAGGATTAATGAAACTGCACCCCCCCACCCCCACCCGCCCTGCACAGTGCATGGCCCCAGCCTGGCCTTGTTCTCTGCAGCACAAATGATAAATCAATAGCTTGCCTATTATGCCTCTCACCCCACTCACTCTTTTCTCTCTTAAAATAATATGGGGAGGCTTCTTCCTTACTGGTAACTCAGAGAATGCTTGTAAAGTATGGGTTAAATCTGCAAAGAAAGTAATTTTTATTCTTGAGATTGGAAAATAACTGAGCCACTTTTGGCAGATCTTTGATGTTTTCAGATATGCTCAGGATAGAAGTTCTAGATCCTTATTTTCCAGGCTGGCAATTACATAAAGTTAAAATGTTGTTTTAGTCTATAAATGCATAGAAAAAGGTCTAGGCAGATACACACCAAACTAAAAAGGGGGGCACCTGGGGAAAGGAATGGGGGATATGGAAGAGGGAATGCTTGTGTTTTATATATCTATATTCTTTACAATCAGAATGTGTTTTTATTACATAATTATGAGATAGAAAATTTTTTTAAAAATTTTATTTTAGTTGCAAGTATGTATTCTGCTATGGTCCACACAACAGAAATAACCCCAGTTCTCTATATTACATTTATTTATTGGGCTCATTACACTATGCCTTTTTAAATCTCTTTTTGATACAGAACCTCTGGCAAGTTTTGCATGGGTTTTTTGTTTGTTTCTTTGTTTTTGGCCATGCCACACAACATACAGGGTCTTAGTTCCCTGACCGGGGATTGAACCCAGGCACCAGCAGTGAAAGCACTGAGTCTTAACCACTGAACTTCCAGGAAATTCCCTTGGTTTATTTTCATTTTTAAAAAAATAAAACTTGCTTGCTGATTTGAAATGAAGGTCAGAGTCCTTTCCAGGACCCTGGATCCCGCATCCAGGGTCTCAAACAGGTCTTTCCCAGAGCCACACCGTCAAGGATTCTGTCTGTGAACATTCGTTAGACCCCAGGGAATTGGGAGGCCGTAAGGGCCTTTTCTCCTGGGTGATGTTGGAGAGAATGAAACAGACTCGCTGGAGAGAGCCCCTGGCGTTAGAAATGCTCCTGTCTCCACACAGGCTCATCCTGCTCAACCCCGCAAGCCCTCCAGCCAAGATAATCATTGCACTCGCAAATTTACCTAACCTGTTGACCGCCTGTGTTACATTCACTATTGAACCAGCTCAAGTCCAAAATTAAAACAAATTCCTTGACTAATGTTCAACTTAAACCAAAAAGAGAGAAAGAAAGAAAGAGCCGTTTGGAAAGAAATGCTTCTAGATTTCTTTTTTTCCTTCTTGTTTTATTTGATAGCTGATTTGCCCATTCTTCAGTGGCTCAGGACAGATAGATATTTTCTTGTTGTTTTATTTTGCATTAATTCCGGAATAGAGCTTGACCTTCCTCCAGGACAGAAAATTAGCTAGTTAATATTGGGTACTGAATATGCCACAGAGTAAACTGAAATGCTTAAAATTGTTTCTAAAATGAATCAAGGCCCAAGAGATAAATACTCTTAAGTCAAAAATTGAAATTGGCTGAAGATATCCAGCATTTTCTTAACTCTTTATGACCTCTTTATCATAAGATTGTCAACCACTACAAAGACATATAAATGGATTTTCTGGTTAACACACAGCATGTGAATTCAAGTGTGACTTCCAGGGCCAGAGACTCTAAAGGGAGAAGAGTGTCACCTTCACCCACAGTGGGGCGTGAACAACACAGGGCACAGTCTTATTTCTATTTCCTATTATTGGAGGTCACTTTGGATTGCTGGGCTTCCCTGGTGGCTCAGCTGGTAGAGAATCTGCCTGCAATGCGGGAGACCTGGGTTCAATCCCTGGGTTGGGAAGATCCCCTGGAGAAGGGAACAGCCACCCACTCCAGTATTCTGGCCTGGAGAATTCCATGGATTGTATAGTCCATGGGTAGGTCGCAAAGAGTCGGACACAACTGAGTGACTTTCACTTTCACTTTTCACTTTGGATTGCATTTTGCTGGTGGTTCTATTGTTCCTCTTAAAGGTTTTTCGGAATTTCAGTCACTTAAAAAAATATTATGGTCCAGTATAACTCTAAAATATACTTACATACCATAGTGAGTTTAAAATGAAATATGACTCCAGAACATGGGATGCATGGTTAGAATAGCTGTTATAATTGAACATTCATTTTCATGTTGTCCATTTTAATAACAGCAATAGCTACCACACATGTGCCAGGCAGAATGCTGGATGTTTTACTTCAATTATAGCTGATAACGACCTTTTATGGTAAGTATTATTCTCCCAACTCAGAGCCAAAAAACAGAGCTGATGAAACAGAACTGATATTCCAGCCAAAATTTGTCTGGTTCCAAAGCCCAGGCCCTCATCATAGATGTTCAGACAGTGGCACAGTATTTGTTTGGTAAAACTTAAGCTGTAAGCTACTTCTTCCTATTGTTTTTAGTAAAATTCCATGATGCACCTAACCCGGCATTTAAATGTTTGATTTCATTTCTAACCTCACTGACATAGTGTAACACAATAGTAAGGGAATTGGTTGATCTTTTATATAAAGGTAATAATATTGATTTTTTTTTTTTCCCCGCTTTAGCCACCAGCTAAATACCTCCTTCCAGAGGTAACGGTGCTTGACTATGGAAAGAAATGTGTGGTCATCGATTTAGATGAAACATTGGTGCACAGTTCATTTAAGGTAAATCAACATAAAACACCATCAGTGATCTTTGTGATTTGGCCACAATTGTGTTGAAAAAATGGAAAAGTAAAAAGATGAAAGCTTGCGGTTTGTTGGCATATGATCTCACTGTTCATAAAATTCCAGTAACAGTTGGTTATTAACTCAGGTGAACATTAACTTGAGTAGTTGAATATTAACATAATTAGTTTGGGAAGAAAAAAAAAACCCACTGGGCTGCCAATATCCCTGAGACCTCATTCTTATGCAGTTTAAGTTTTCCAACACTCTACCCCCTGCAGAAATACTTTCCAGGCGGCACAAGGCAGTCAGTGCCCCAGGACACTGCTGTGTGTTTGTCTAGGTAACTGAGCACTGTACAGGCTGCAGTTTATATGGGGAAGGACAAGGGGAGACACAGTTGAAAACTAGCAAGCAACTGACTATCCTGGAAATCTTCCCAGACCAACTTTTGGAAGATGCCAAACTCTGAAGAAGACTTTCAGAGTTATGGCATCTGAACAGATTCAGTCATTTATCTTAACGGTTTTCATGACAAGAGCTTGCTGGAGTTTTCCTAAGCTTCATGGCTAAGTGTGTATCCCCCTGCATGCCCTCCCTTCTGAAGGCCAGGGGCTGCAGTATACTCAGCGTGAGCATCACAGTCTTACTTCCATCACCTCCCTCACGCCTCCCTCTCAATCTCCTCACCAGAATAGCAGCCAAAGTTACAAATTACCCAAGGGCCTCCATGTATGTATGTATGTGCTCAGTCATGTCTCTTTGCAGCCTCATAAACTGTAGCCCACCAGACTCTTCTGTCCATGGAATTCTCCAAGCAAGAAAACTGGGGCGGGTTGCCATTTCCTCCTCCAGGTGATCTTCCCGACCCAGGGATTGAACCAGTGTCTCTTAGGCCTCCTGCATTGCAGGCAGATTCTTTACCACTGTGCCACCTGGGAAGCCTGGGCCTCCAGGGGGGAACGGCAATGGCTGTACTCCTAAGAAATGAGTTAATTAATCATTTTTCCAATTTTTGAAGTTGTTTGAAATAAGCAAATGATGAAAAAGTTTGGAAATAGGGGGTTGGTGTGTTGAGGGGGAAGCAGAAAGTGTACGGGGTCCTGGTCCTGTTTTCCTTGGGGGGTTTCCAGTACTGGAACTGCCCTACTGTTGCTGGCCAGTTACACCATTTTCCTCTGTTTACCACCAGCCCGTGACCCTGCTTTCTTTGCTGGGAGACATGAAAGCACCACCTGAGATGAAGTGTGTGTCTGACACCAGCCAGCCTCTCCTTGATGGCTGTATGGGAAGTGGGAGAAAGCTATCAAATTTTCCTGCAGACCTTTCTGCCAGAAACATCCCTCTTTGGGCCTGCTTCTCACTAAACAGAATCCTCCTTGACAGGTCAGGGCCAGGCAGTTGTCCTGGAGTCCTTGGGAGTGTGGAGGAGGGGCCACACACCCTCCTGGCAGTGAGAAATGGCCTGGCTGGCCCCTGGGGCATGTGGGTACCACTCATTCCACAGCCCCACATGGGCCTTCCCAGGATTGATCCCAGCGATTCAGTGACCTTATATCCCAACTCAACTGTGAACTGCATTGGAAGCCTTTCCTCCGCTGTGGGCAGGATGCTCAGAACTTTCTCAAGTCCCTGAGGAACAAAGGCCTTTAGGGCAAAGGTCAGTTATCATCACAGCATAGCCAGCTTCCTTGCAAGCAGCTCTGGGAGCATGGGCATCACCAGCCAGACTGCCCAAGGTTACTGAGGGCTCATGGCTCCAGAAAGGGAGCTTGGGAGCCCCTGGTGTCTCCAGGATCTGCTCAGAGGGCATTGATACACAGGTGATGTCAATAGCATGTCTTCATTTCTTCCCTCCCTGAGCTGCCTGCATTTTCAAGCGGAATATTGTATGATTTTTAAGGTTCTGGGCATCTCAAAGCCCTTTGAGAATCCGAAAGCTAAGAACTTCTCTCCTTGAAACTGTACAGCACACAGACCCAGAGACACATGTTTACAGCCCTGGCTTTGGCCCCCTTGTTATATATACTTTGTGGAATAGAATGTCACAATCTAACGCCTCATGAGAATTTCTTCCTTCAGTCTTTTGTTTTCTCACCTCATTCTGTATTTTAGTTGTGAAACGATAAAATACCACGCTCATCCTTGACCTTCCAACCAAAGCAGCGAAGAAACTGTAAGCTTAAGGCTCAAGTGCTCTAGTGAATGCTTAGTAATGGTTCTGTGACCTAGTATTTCCCACAGTTTTCCAGTGTATGTCTTTTTTTTTTCATTTATTTTTATTAGTTGGAGGCTAATTACTTTACAACATTGCAGTGGTTTTTGTCATACATTGAAATGAATTAGCCATGGATTTACATGTATTCCCCAGCCCGGTCCCCCCTCCCACCTCCCTCTCCACCCGATCCCTCTGGGTCTTCCCAGTGCACCAGGCCCGAGCACTTGTCTCATGCATCCAACCTGGGCTGGTGATCTGTTTCACCCTAGATAATATACATGTTTCGATGCTGTTGTCTTGAAACATCCCACCCTCGCCTTCTCCCACAGAGTCCACAAATCTGTTCTATACATCTGAGTCTCTTTTTCTGTTTTGCATATAGGGTTATCGTTACCATCTTTCTAAATTCCATATGTATGTGTTAGTATACTGTAATGGTCTTTATCTTTCTGGCTTACTTCACTCTGTTATCCAGTGTATGTCTTAAAGAACAACGTGTGTGAAAAAAAAAAAAGAAAGAAAACGTGTGTGTACAGTAATGGACTCAAAGGCAGACTTTAGTTCAGATTCTTATCAGAGACCCTTACCTTTCCCATGCCCCTGCCCAGGGACCATCACACCCAGTCTCCCTCCTTCTGTTCCTCTCTCCCTTATCCCAAGGGTTTGTGATCTCATGATTCTCTTGGGCCTGTTCGTTTCCACTTGATTTGTGGAATTCCATTTAGAACAGTTTGCGAGTCCGTCGTTGAGAATATAATGACTGCTGAAGAATCGTATTTGAGTTCTAAGTGTCACTAAGTGTTGGGTTATTTTAAATATGCAGACGTTAGTGAGTGTGCTAGGTATTGTATCACACAGCCCAGAGCAGTCTAAGTGTGGTGGCTTTCCCACCCACCCCACCCCACCCACCTCCAGGGCCAGAGACAGTGCCAGGCAAGCCTGGAAATCACTGACGTACACAGCTGGACGGAGCCATGGGCACTCATCAGACCCATCGCTCTAACTGTGGAGGACAGGAGAAACCAAGGTCCACAGGGGAAAGAGCCTGCCCAAGGTGGTGGGCTGTGGCCTCTGACCTCACCCCATATATCCAGTGGCCCCACTTTGGGCCCATGTGTTGAGCATGCCTGTACTTGTGCAACTTAGCAGATGGCTCCAGTGGTAAAGGATCTGCCTGCAATGCAGGAGATGCAGGTTCTATCCATGAGTCGAGAAGATCCCCTGAAGAAGGAAATGGCAACCCACTCCAGTATTCTTGCCTGGGAAATCCCATGGACAGAGGAGCCTGGCGGGCTACAGTCCATACAACCGCAGAGTCTGACGCGGCATAGCAACTAAACAAGTGCTGTCCTCTAGGGCTGTCGGGCCCTCGCCTCTGCCCCCTGGTGGCCAGCAGTGGTTCCTGCCACTCTAGGCAAGAGCCAAGAGTTAGAGAGGAGCCCTGTTTCCAAGCTAGGCGCAGCACTCTTTATGGTTGGGGCCAGGCAGGTAGTAAAGATGCTGATAATGTAACAAAATTCAGGACAGAAAATAACATGCTTTCCTGCTTATGTTTATTTTGAGGAACTGAGGCATGCTCCGACGTCCCCCTGAACTGTTTTGTCCAATATTAAAAACATTAGTCCAGGCAAGCTTTTTTGGTGCTAAAGTTTCCAGTTTTATTTTGTTCTTTCAGACATATTAATTATAGTTTCTTCTTTCTCCAGCCTATTAGTAATGCTGATTTTATTGTTCCCGTTGAAATTGATGGAACTATACATCAGGTAAGAAATCAAAGCTAAATCTGAGTTTCAGTTCACATTTTTTTTAGTAATTACATTTTCTATGAACTGTATTTCTAAATTCCCCTTTCCGTTATCATTTTGTTACTGAATCAGGAGGAGGCAGACTTTATTAAAAATTCAGTGATTTTATGCCTTTTTTCTTTCACTCGGATGAATTTTATGCTTCATTTATAAGGGAAGCTATAATCTATTTGTAAATATTAGATGTGGTTGCAAGTTCAAATAGTTCTTTGATTTGATGCAGACTTTTAGAAGTTTCCATATCCCCCACTGGCCTAGCTTGATGGTCTAACTAACTTCCCTATGTAATTGCTTTAGCTACTCTCCAAGCAGGCAACAGGGAAATGTCACAAGTCACTGACTTAGGGTAGATTCTCAGCAAAGGTTGTCAAAGATTACCAGCCACTCCAGACTGACCTTGTCACTCCTACATTGTGTTCTCCTGTGAATATTTAGTAAAGCCCAACCCAAAAGGGAAAGGAGGAAGGGTGTGCATTTTTGGACCAGCAGGAACTTTGAATAAAGATGCCCTAGTCAGTTGGCATGCATCTTTGTTCTGATATTTTTGCCCCTTATTTTCCTTTTTATTGCATGAAGCTCCTCTAGGGATAGTTTCACTTGTGAAATATTGGAAATGCTGTGGGAAGACATTGTAGGTTTTCCACAGAAATGCTCCAGTCATCTTCCTTGTCAACCCCAAGATCTAAAGGGAGAGCCTCTGGCCTGGTGTGTTTATATCCCAGGAGGAAAACTCGCCCTTGGTACTTGAGCCATGACAGGCTGTCTTTCCTTGGAGATGTCAGTAGTCTCTTTGACCCTTGAGTGCAGGGTGTCAGAGCTGGTGGGGCCTTGGGAGTCAACGGGTCCAGCTACCTCACCGTCCGCATGGGGGGAGTGAGGCTCAGCCAGGAAGAGGGGTGGTTCAGGGCCATGCGGCAGGACGAGTTGAAATGAGAGCTCCAGCCTCCTGTTCCTGACACAGGGCTCTTTGCCGGGTACTCGAGTCCCCCCTCCTCCCTTCCAGGAGGGCCTGCCAGCAGCCCGTCCCTGGTGTTTCCACACTTAATGCTCTGGAGAGCCATCGGGGAGCCAGCCTGGCAGGCACTTGGGCATTTAACATCTGCCCAAGCATCCACAGAACTAGCTCCGCATCTGAGAAGCAGTTAAGGCTTCTGCGTTTATTATCTTGGCTCGTGTGACAAGATAGTGGGATGAAGGAGAGGCTGCCCGCTGGCATGACGGAAATTAGGAGAGAAATGAATCCCTTTGTTTCTCAAGACTGTGAGCATAGCCCTCAGGACCTGACCTGCTGTGGCCAGCCCATTCTCAAAAGAGCTGCCCTGCTCCCCCAGCCCTCCAGACTGTGCTATGATTCACCTGGCGGTAAACACTCCAGAGCTGGGATCAGAAACTCTTTCTCCTGAGGGAATGAAGCCACAGGCGCCCAGAGGAGGACCAAGGCCCTGGCGAAGGCCGTGGCCTCGTTCAAGTAATCCAGGATAGGCTGTGCAGGTCCCAAGGGGCCTATTCTCGGTTACTTGCACGCGGACGCGGGCCTGGACGCCAGCCTCTGGACCCAGGACCCTCCTCTCTGTCAGAGGCACCAACGCCATAGTCCCCAGACCAATCTCCTGCCCTTCGCACGTAGCAACGCTTGGTTTCCAAGCAGCATCCCCAAGGAGACTGAGGACCACGGGCCGCACCCATTCCTAGCAGCCTCGTGAGCGGAGTGTAGGCCTGGAGCTACTGCAGCCGCACCCCACCGCCAGGCCTCTCCACTCAGCAGAGCCCTGTGGGGGCCCATCCTGGCCATCCTGCTCCTCTGGCCCCTCCCTCCACACACCTTTTCACTCAGCCACAGGTTTCCCACCAAGACCTCCACCTGTGTAAACTCCTCTTCAGGAGCTCTTCCTCTGTATGGAGTAGGGCCCCGCTCCCCTTGCCCCTCCTCCTGTAGGGTATCCAGCCTGCTCCATCTGCTGTTCACGACCCATGCATACGCACCTGGACCTGCCTTTCACACTACGTCTTCAGCCTCTTCTATCCCCATCTCCCCGTCCTTTATCTCTGCCTCTGAAGGGCTGCTCGGCAGAGCTCTGGCCATTCTCCAGCACCCCAGGTGTTCTCAGGCAAGGTCTCACGCTCAAACTAATTTCTTGCCTGGAAGCTCACTTCTCATGTTTATCAGCCTGGTGAACTCCTATTCATCCTTCAAGGTCCAGGCCAAATGTTCCCTTTTGTGATTCCCTCCCCTTGAGAGGGAAGTTAATCATCATTAATTGATCCTTATGCTGCAGCTTTCATTATGCATATTTATTTTGGTCTGTTTTTCTGAATGTCTGCTCTAGACTGTGAGCTCTTTAAGGGCAAGGCCTGTGTTTCCCTCACCTTTGTAACCACTTCAGGCTGAGGCCAGAGCTGGGACTGAACAAATATGAGTCGAACTGAATTTTAACAAGTTTGAATTATTTTAGGGAAATGGCTAATTTCAAGTGAAATTTATTCAAGTTTTAATTAGTCCTTCCTTCCTCCCACCTCCTCTGCCTCCTCTTGCCAGCTCTGCCTTCTTTCTCCGCTCCCATGTTTCCGCAGATCTGTGCAGGCTTCCAGTCGGGGGCAGAGCCCAGCCACTCTAGGAAACGTGGTTCTTTGCCCCCTGTGCTTGGCGGCCCCTCCCTGATGCCTGGTTTCTGGGGTTAAGAGTAGTCTGGCTTCACATCCCCTGAAGCATCTGTTTCTGGAGCAGACTGAAGCAGAGTTAATGTTGTGTGTCAAGTAGACGGTTTCCCACACCGACAATGAAGGCCCTTCATGCAGCTTTACTGCCCCTGCGCGAGCAACCCCAGACCTGCCGGGCAGTGGGCCATGCCCTGACCTCCACCAAAAGGACCACCCCAGACCACGGCCGCTGTCCAGAAATGGCCTGACCCAGAGTGTGTCGCATGAAACACATGTGAAATGAAGGATCTGGGTCACCCGAACATGGCCCAACCTTTCCACTCACTGGTTCTGCAAATCCCTCCACACCATGTCAGCTTCCCTCTCCCCCTTGGGTGGGGAGTCTGCTCCAAACTCAGACCTGGAGCATACCGTGAGGGCTGTCTGGTCCTGAGCGCCATGTTAGATGACACAGCCCCTCGTTCAGTCCTCCTGGGGTCAGGAGGCAGGGACCGGGTTAGGGATTCTTCCTCCCCAGGGCTCTCAGGGCCCCAGGCTTTCCCCGGCGGCTGCTGTGACTGACCTGCATGGTGTCCCTGCCGTTGCAGGTGTATGTGCTGAAGCGGCCACACGTGGACGAGTTCCTGCAGAGAATGGGACAGCTGTTCGAATGTGTGCTCTTTACTGCCAGCCTGGCCAAGGTGGGTCCTGCCCTGGGCACTCAGAGCCCAGCCCCTCCACCCCTGCCCCCGGTCTATTAGGCGGCCCTTTGTTAAGGTGGGGGAAGCGGTTTCCATGGTGACAGGTTCCCATCCCAGATGGGGTAGATGCGGGCCATGTGTGCAGCACCCGCCTGAGAGGCTTTGGGGTTACCATAGCGACAGGAGCCCTGGGAACAAACGCTCCATAAAGTTGCTGCTGCCGCCGCTGAAGCTGCCTGTCCACAGACCAGGCAACCACAGGCATGTCCCGTGTGACCGAGACAGGCATCTGCATCTCATCTGGTGACTGGCTGAGGCCTCTGTGCGCTTGGGTTAGCAGCTCACCCGGGTTTCAGGGAAGGATAAGCATCAAAGGTTCATCCACCCCCGGGGGCCGCAGGAGCATTCTGACTGCCCTAAAGAGCCCCAGGACCTCGGCCCGTCTCTTCACTTCTCTCGCCTCCGTTTCCTCTACGAGATAGGGATGATCCCATCTACTTCGTGGGGTGGAGCAAATGAAATCACGCCCAGAAGGAGGCTAGCCCGGGGCCCGACTCCTGCTCCGCAGGTGCCTGTGAAGCCCCTGCTGGGCCTCCCGTGCGCTGTGCCGGGCATTGTTACATGGTCACTGCTCCTGGTGTTCATGCTCTATCATAATTATTCATGATGATAAAATAAGCCACACGTGTTTTGGTCCCGTGGTTTGGTTTGACTCTCTGACCCAGCACCTACAGTGGCCATGACCAAAGAAAGTGGTTTCTCTGCCCTTACCCACTGTCTGAGGGACCTGGCAGGTTCATAGCACTGCCTCCCACCATGTGGGTGAGCCTGTCCTTTCACAGGTGAACTCAGGTGCCTGCACTGTGTGGAAGGCAGGCCCCGCTCCTCGAAAGCGTTCCTTGCCCATGTCTGTGTCTCCAGCCCTGACCCTGACAGGGCCAGTGCCATCCATTTGTTGGTGGCACCAACAGTGTCTCCATGGGCACCTCAATGGCCTCAGGATGTGCTCTGCAGGGCCCAGGTTAGACATCTGCCTGTCTGCAGACCTGCTCCAAGGACGCACAGGCAGCTTCCTCCCCCATGTTCCATCTCTATTGCGGGCTCCCTTCTCTGCATGGTGGGGACTCTGACCCTGAGTTCCCAGATGTGCTGTGCTGCTTTGCTGGGTTGGGCATTTCTGGTTTGGGCCATCTCTCTGCCATTCTGCGAGGCTCATCACCAGGCCATAAAGCTTGAGCCATTGGGGAGGTAATCAGGAGCCCCGGGCTGTCTTCTTCATGCTGAAAATAGAATGCGGCCTCGGGAAGAGCATCACCTCCCCAGTGGGTGCCCTCTCAGATGAACGGTACTGTGCTGCGGTGCCAATGACCCTTCTGGCAGTGCGCTCGGCCGCTGAAGCGATGACCAAAAAAATAACACACAGGAAGGCTGCACTGTGCTGGGGAACTGAGAGCTGTTTCTTTCCTTTGGCAAAATTGAAAGCACTCTTTCTTGGCATCATCCCCAGCACTTGCTTAAACATCCTTGTTCGGTCTCTCTTCCTGGACGGCTCCCACCTGCCCCTCCATCTGTCTCTCCAGCCCTTCTCTCACTGCTATCCCAGGCTGCCTTTGCCGAATCAGCCCCCATGTGCTGCCTTCCAAGGACTTCAGTGGTGGTCCAGTAGATCGGACTCCATTCTTCCACTTGAGGGGGCACAGGTTCCATCCCTGGTCAGGGAAGTTCCTCATGCCATGCAGTGCATGTGGCCAAAAAAAAAAAAAAAAAAAAAACCCACAAAATGTGCAGCCTTCCAGCTTCTCTCCTCCCCAGTGCACAGCTCTGCTGACAGGGAGCCACTGCCCAGGGCTTGGCCCTGAGCTCAGTCCCCAGCCCGCACCACTGGTGTGCAGGACCTCCTGGCCTGCTTCCCTGGGGCCTGAGCAACCTCTGCTGACAGAACCCCACAGCGTCTGCTTCCCCATCTAGCGTCCATCCTCCATACACTCACCCACCAAGTATGTCCTTTATACCTGCAGTGTCAGGCACTGTCCTAGGCTTTAGACTACTCCAGAGAACAAGAAATGGCCCATGCCCACGTGAAGCTTCATCCCCATGGCCGGGAGCCCCCAACCAGGACACTCCCTTGAAAGATGTATGCTACCACTGTTGTTAATGATTATGAAGAAATTAGCTAGAGTCAGCTGCTTAAAAATGACCTGCGTGGCACTTCGCTCCCCTCACCTGGAGCCCTAAGCTCACCTCCCTTGGTCAACAGGAAACCCAGCCTCCCCCCGCGCTCTGCTTCGTCAGGAGGAGGACTCACCTGTGGAGCCAGGATGCTGCTTGCAGCCCTGCATCCTGCAGCCATGACAGCCTTTGCTCTGCACTCGGGCTGCTGTGTGTTCCACCACCGGCCTTCCCAACACCACCAGCCTCGGGCGCTTCCCACTTCCCCGGCAGAGCCTCTGGGCCCCTAAGGACCTCTGACTGTGCCCTTCACTTGGGTCTTGGTGCTGAGGCCTGGCCTCACATGGCCGGGAGCTGCCACTCTTTTACCTCCAGCCCCAGCCATTCAGTCTGGATGAAGATTTTCCCTCAGGCACAACCCCTTTATTTCTTCTTTATCCCTTTCAGTGTTCTTTGGGGAAAATTCCCCAGGCCATGGGAGACGGCCAAGCAGGATGAATCCCAGCTGTGATTTGGGCTCTAACTCCCTCCCTTAAAACTCCTGGGCTCCAAGTCAGTGGCTGTGCTGTCTGGGCCATCGTGTGACAGTCAGGGGCTGGGCTGGCCGTGCTGCTCAGAGCTCCTCTAGGGGGCAGTGCGGCCCCGTGCACACCAGCCGGATCCCAAGTCCACACTTCCCTTGGCTGATGCAACTCGTATTTACCGAGCCCTACCAAGAGGTGGCGCCAGTAGTAAAGAGCCCGTCTGCCAAGGCATAAAGAGATCTGGATTCAATCCCTGGCTTGGGAAGATCCCCTGGAGAAGAGAATGCCTACCCACTCCAGTTTTCTTGCCTGGAGAATCCCACGGACAGGGGAGCCTGGCAGGCTGCAGTCCAGAGGGTCGCAGAGAGTCGGACCAGACTGAAGTTACTTAGCACATGCACATGCACCAAGAGGTAGTCACCCGCAAGGTGCTGGACATGTCATGGGGAACACGCAGGCAAGACCCTGACAGATGACAGAGCCGTAAGGTGGCCCCGGGTGGTGGTGAGCTCTGTGGAGGCGATGGCGGCTGCAAGGCCGGAGAGTTTCTGCAGAGGAAGGTGCAGGAGGGCTGGGAAGGTGGTAAGGAGAGCTGAGCGCCAAAAACTGAGGAGATGGAAGGAGAAGTATGTGCAGAGAGTGGGGGAGAGAATATTCCAGCAGAGGGGACACTGATGCAAAGGTCCCGACCGTGTGCAAAGCCAGCGTGGCTCAAGTGACTTGAGGTGGAGCTGAGAGGCAGCTGCAGCCGTGTGGGATCTGGCAGGGCCCCGGGGCTTCGTTCCAAGTGTGTCAGGAAGCCAGTGCAGGGTTTGAAGGGAGTTTTCCAGTGGCCGTTCTGACAGCTGCAAGGTGAGTGGAAAGGAGGCCCCAGGGGAAGAGGGAGGCGCCTCTGCAGGCCAGAGATTACAGAGGACCGGACAAGGGAGTGACAGTACAAACAGAGAGATGCAGGCGGATTCAAGATATTTTTGGAGAGGGAACTGACAGGAATTTCTGATGGATTTGATATGAGAAGTGAGAGAAATGGAAGAATCCAGGGTGTCAGGGAAATACCCAGGATCTTGAAACACCTGCAGTTACATAAGTCCCTTTTTAGACGAATAGTATGGCTTTTGCTGCAGGAGGTCAGGGCCCCTGGGCTCTTCCACGCACCCAACCTTCACTGTGATGCCTGCTTCCCAGTACGCAGACCCTGTGGCCGACCTGCTGGACCGCTGGGGTGTGTTCCGGGCCCGGCTCTTCCGGGAATCGTGTGTTTTCCATCGTGGGAACTATGTGAAAGACCTGAGTCGCCTTGGGCGGGAGCTGAGCAAAGTGATCATCGTGGACAATTCTCCTGCCTCCTACATCTTCCATCCTGAGAATGCAGTAAGTAGCCCCAGGCCGAAGGGACTCAGGGCTCCAGCTGAGCTCTCTGGCCAGGTAGAGCCACTTCCGTACCTTCAAGCACCTGTGCGGGGGTTTCATGGCCTTTTCATTAGTGAAATCCCAGCTTTGCATTGAGCAGTTACATGACATTGACCATTATTTATGCTCACTGAGCCTCTCTGCCGAAGTTGCCCTCTCTGTCAAATGGGCCTTCTAGGCATGCTGATTCGTGGGATTGTTGGAGGATCAAGTGTGGCGTGCTTGTGTTGGGTAAGTGCTCAGTGAGCCTGTATCTTCTCAGCATCGTTAGGATCATGACTGAGAAGGTTTTTGTTATCGGCCTCCTGGATCTGGCTGTTGCCCAGGACTTTGTGACCCCTGTAAATTCAGAAGGTCTGGGTGACCTCTTCAACAGAAGTATTAAGAATGAATAAAACACTTTAGTGAGGTCTTCAGATGAGACTACCAGGCTTTACCACCTCCTAATGATGTTTAAAAAGTAGACAAAATGGGAACATTTCCTACATAAAACTCCCTGGAGCGTGGCAGCTCCCAGTGCCAAGTCTCTGGGTGTAGCACATCTCAGAGCAGGAGAGGCGCCCTCCTGCCGCCAGCCCTTTATTCCAGGAGGCGAGGTCAGCCCTACTGGAGGCTGCTCACCCCTCCACAGTGGCCGCCACACCAGACCTCAGCTCAGGCCCTGGAGAGGATGCTTCTCCCAAGCCCAGGCTTCCCAGTCTCAACGAAAGCCCATACAGGATCTTTTCCTTGAGACCATAACTGTGTTGCTCCTCTTATAACCAAAAACCGAGTTCAAACTAGGTTCACTTCATGTATAATCATTAACTGAACAAACATTCAAATATATTAAAGTATGCTCCTTTTGATGAGTTAAATTCAACATAATGCATTTTGTAATGTGTCTAACAGATAAGGATTCTTTTTTATCATCTCAATTCCAGGCACTTCCCTGGAGGTCCAGTGGTTAGGACTCTGTGCTTCCATTGTAGGGGGCACGCGTTCAATCCCTGGTCAGGGAACTAAGATCCCACAGGCCATGCAGCACAGCGCCCCCTACCACCACCAAAAAAATAAATCCTAATTCCATTATCACGTCTGATAATACTAGCAGTTTCTTGATATTATCACTAATATCCAGTCTGTATCCATCTTTTCCCTATCATCTAGAAATATTTTCTTTTATTTGGATTGTTTGAATCAGAATCTAAACAAGGTAGGTGCATACATTGCTTCAGTATTGTGTTCTTACTGTGACGTCACATCAGGAGGCATATAACATCAGATTGTCCCACTTTTAAAGATTTTAAGTTGCCTTTTGGATTCAGGTGTTAATCAGCCTGATCCATCCATTTTCAAATTTTCACTTGACTTTTCACCTAAAAATGTGAGCAGTTGTTGATGATCTTTGCTCTCCATCCACTATTTTATTAGAAATTACAAAATGGTAATTTCTAAACTCTATCATTCTTTCTGCATTGGCTGGAATTCTCTTTTTTTTCATTGAACTTACTCTCATTGATTACTTGATTACCCTAAAATTCAGTTTGAATAGGGAAATCAGAATAAAGTCTTGGTTGTTTTTCTTTATTTTTTCTGTTTTGAGAGTTATGAGATGGTGCTCTAGGAACCTCTAGAAGTAACCAACTTTTTTAGATACCATTATGAAGCTATGGATTTTTTTATGTTATAATTTAATCTATCTATTATCCTTTTTATGCTCAAATGTTCACCTATAGCCAGTGGATGCTCCTTCAAATAACAATAGTCCTTGATTACTTCCTGCTTTCAAGTCCAACAAGGCGTTCCAAACTCATCTTGTCCATTTCTTGCTCCAGCCCTGTAATCAGCCATTTTTCTATGCATCTGGTTCCTGTGAGTGAGAATGGTATTTAGAGACCACAGTTTGAGTGGGTTCTCATTGTTAGGATGTCCTTTGCTTCCAGTCCTTTCTACTGGACAGAGCTAAAATACACTTATTTTTATTTATAGAATGAAGACAAAATCATAAATTCACATTTGTTTTTCCAATTCAATTGTAACAGTTTTTATTTAATTTCCTGTTGTTTTTGTATTTATGTCTCCTCTTACACTGAAACTCATGATTCCTTATTAACATCATTACAGATTTGATTGATCCTATAGTATAGTTTTAACAGTTTCAAAATTGCATTGTTTTAATATTATTACTAACGATAAAACAATTGAATGCATTTAGGGATTTTTTTGAGCAATTCTACAAACAGAAAACTGTGTTTCAAAATCGCCTGAAATATCCTTTCTATGGTTATGTCACCGAACTTACATACATGAAGATTCATTTTTTTGTTGCTTTTTTCCTTACTGATTTAATTTCATTTCAATCATGTAACACATTTACATGGTTTAGCATCAAAACTCTCACCAAAGTTTCTCCTTTGGCAGTCTAGTGGTTAGGAGTCCACAAGTGCTTGCACCATAGGAAGGTTTGGATTTGATCCCTGCTTGGGGAAACGAAGATTCTGCATGACTCGCTGTGCGGCCAAAATTTTTTTTAAAATTAAAAACAAAACTATCAACAAAGATACATTCAGAGAAATCTTGTGTCCATTCCTGCCCTATCCCCTATTCCCACCCCTTCCCCTGGGAGTAGTCATTTTTTCCTTACTCCTTAGCTTGTTGATTTTTTTTTTAATTACATAATGAATTGTTGGCTTACCTGGTGGCTCAGTCGGTAAAGAATCCACCAACAATGCAAGAGATGCAGGTTCAATCCCAGGTCAGGCAGATCCCCTAGAAAAGGAAATGGCAACCCACTCCAGTATTCTTGCCTGGAGAATTGCATGGACAGAGGAGTCTGGAGGGCTATGCAGTCCATGGGGTCACAAAGAGTCAGATGCGACTTAACGACTAAACCACCACCACCAATGAACTGTTACATTTCTAAACAGTCTTTAGATTTGTAAAAGGGTCAAAAATCTTAGTTTTAAAAACATTTTTGGCTTCCCCGAATTTGTTTTTATGTCTCTTCTTTGCACCTCTTGCTACCACCCTCTAGCAGCCCTCCCCACCTCTCTATCTAAAACTGAAGGAGACTCCTGTCCTGAGATGTTATATTTCCCCTTTTAACTGAACTCTGCGAAGCATGGGAGGCGTCCCGTGCTGTGCGGTAACACTAAGTAGAAGCCCTCTCACCCTCTACGAAGATGTCAGTGGTTGATTGGTGACCTCTGACTTCAAGTGCTCTGAGGAGCAAGGAGTGGTTTGATGCAATAGAAAGAGTGTTGGATGGACAGAGGAACCTGGCAGGCTACAGTCCCTAGGGTCGCAAAGAGTCAGGAAGACTGAAGCAACTTAGCATGCACACACACAAGGTAGTTATATATTCTGCGTTCTGGTTACCTTTAATGCAGCAGGAAGACAAAGCAGGAAAGTGCATGCCAACTGGATACACTTAACTTTGCCTTCCCGAGCCATCTCCCGAACCAGATAGATTCAGGTTGATTTTAGCTGGGACGGGAGAACAAACAAGTGATGGTGCTGGTGATTACTAGATATCCATCTAAGACATTGAAGTGTGGGGGCGCAGTCAGGCTGGACGCGGCCCCCAGGCCTGATACAGCTCTGCTGCCCGCTGCACACACTGTCTTCCAGGTGCCTGTGCAGTCCTGGTTCGACGACATGACGGACACGGAACTGCTGGACCTCATCCCCTTCTTCGAGGGCCTGAGCCAGGAGGACGACGTGTACAGCATGCTGCACAGACTCTGCAGTAGGTAGCCCCGGCCTCCGCCCGCCTCCTGCCTGCGCACCTGGAACCTCAGCCTGGGACCCTCCTGGCCTCCGCTCCCCCTGGAGCTGAGAGTGCGGACACGCCGTGCTCCAGGCCATGGGGCGAGTGTGGCCATACCTACCTGGTTTATTTTTTAAGAACAGAAACAACTATTTTAAAGCGAACTCTTTTAATGAATTTCATAAAGGGACATGCATTTTACTGGATTTGCTTTTCTTAAAACATACCAAAAAGGAAAAAAATGGAAAAAAAAAGCTTGGTATCTATCAGAACTTCCTTTTACAACTGTCCTCCCCTCCAAGCAGACAGCCTGTCCCCTTCTACCCCAGCTCAGAGGAGCTGACCCAACTCAGAATCTTTTCCTACAGGATGAAGTGCCTTTTTGAATGTTATTTTAAGCTGAGAGTTAATTTTTCTATGCGACATATTTCCAGACATCTTTTAGTCTTTTATTGTCTTAGATTCTCTAAGAAGATGAATATGACAATTTTCTAAAACCTGGGAGGTGGGGGGGGGGTGGCAGGGGATGGGGTGAGTCATAGGAGCCTGTCTCCCAACAGGTGGGCTGCGCTGACCACTTGTGGCATGCCACAGGGCCAGGTTCCTTCGAGGAGATTTTGTGACTGTGTCATTGTGTACCTTCATTTCCGACCCAGTTTGGAATGTATCCGCAATCGTGTGGCTCAATGCTTTAGGCAACGATAGATCCTTTTGTATTCTTCTTCTTATTTCTGATGGTGACAGATTTGTCTTGAGGTCACATTTTTCCCCTTGAAAAGTGGCATCATGTCGCTTGTGGTTTCACACGACTGCCATACTTTTGTATGTTCTTGGTTTGGTTATTGTTGTCGTTGGGGGTAGAGCAGTTACAGAAAACTCTAAAACCCTTGGATAGTTAAAAAAGGAATTCTGTTTATTGGTTTTTTTTAAAATCTGTCCTTTTCAAAAGTTGGATACCCATGGAGCTGTTCGGGAATTTTCTTTGCTGCTACTGCGCTGCCACCAAATGGAATTGACCAGCGGCTGTTACACTGTTCTTTGCCACTGTGCCTACGCTCAGAATCTGCTCACTGCTAAGCTGCAGACTTGGACAGGGTCAGAAACCTAGGTGTCCCACCCCACTGCAGACTGCAGACCGCGTTCCCTCTCTGGCACCAGCCTCGCAGGTTCAGGAGGGAACAAAGACCAAAGGGCCGGCGCACCTCATCGGTGTGGCATTCCTTTTCAAACTGCAGTCAGCCTCAGAGCTTGTGCTAAGCTGACCGTTCTCTCAGGAGAACCTGTGGCCTCAAGCCGCCACCATGCTGATGTGGCCCGAGTCCATTTCTTGGGCTTTTCTTTTGAAGCACAGCCTGTTTCTGAGCCGAGGGTGGGGGAGACACATCTGGACGTGGGACCCATTACCCAGAGCCAGGGAAAGGAAGGGCCCCCTCCCTGAGCTGGGGCTCCTTTTGCAGCCTTTTCCAGTGAGATCTTTTAAGCAGTGCCATGATCCTCGTTTGACAATGAGACGGTCTACATAAAGTATTGCTCTTAAAGATAATTAAAAAGAACCCTTTCGTGTTGGCACCGTTGCCTTAGTCCTCTGTGGGTCAGGCCGGAGTTCTGGTGGGAGCCACCAGCACTAAGAAGATTGGAAAACAGTTGGGGTGAGGGGGGGTGTCAAAGTAAAATTTCTTTTCTGCTTTCATTCACAAAATAGTGAAGCCAGCTGCCAATCACGTCCTCCCAACAGCACTTTGGTCTGCGGACTGCCGTGCTTTCAGGACAGAAGTAAGTATTTAGGGGTAACCAGGTCTCGCGACACTCTTGAGTGTTCCAAACCCAGTCATCCACATGCCAGTTAAAATAGAAACAGCCCCTTGCTCAGTGTGACCACAGGAAATGACAGTTATGTGGCAGGTCTGCACACGCCATACACCTTGATTCGGAAAACTAGTCATTAAATGAACCCACTGCCTTAAACGTCTTGAATGTTGCAGTCAAGTGTCTGTCACGTGTTGACATCCACACAGAAGTCGGTCCTGATGAGACCCTTAGGCCCCCCTGACCTGTGCTCCCTGCTTTGTTGGCATCCCAAGGTCTTACTTGGAATACGGGGCAGCGAGGAGATTCTAGAATATCCCAGGGGAATCAAACCTAGGAATCGTGCCCCACTTCTGATGGAGTGAAGACACGTGGCAGGCTTGAGCCAGATCCTTCACCTGGTCGTTCCCGAGGCCGTGAGCGCCACTGCACTGCGCCGGTGCAGAGCTGACGGGGGTGGAGCCTGGTTCCTGCCATCACAGACACAGAATGTCTCGGGAGGGCAGCAGGCCCTCCAGGGAGTTCTGGATTCTGTGCACCTTATTCGACCCCACTCCAAAATTCCGTTCTTATTTTAGCCCTTGATTCTGCTTTATGTATATAATCAAAATATCTATATTGATATATATATTTTTAATCATCTACATGTAAATGAAGCAATAGAATTCTAACATAAGGCCAAGAAATGAGATGAATGTTTGGGGTTTATGTTTTTAAGGTAAATACGGGTATTGTTTTTACTTTTTACCTTTTATGAGATTGTGGGCTTTAAAACCTAAGGAAACCTATCTCTGTGCCATATACTTCCCATGTTACCAAAACACCCCCAACTCTTTAGCCAAATGAAAAATCTGACCTCCTGAGTTTCCATGGTCCTTTTGGTACCAGGTTAAAATAAGAGTCTCCTGGACAATTATTTTTTACTTTAATATCTGGAACAGGATACCGTGGGTCATGACTCTGGCTGGGCCTCGAGTGGAGGCGCCCAGGCACAGTGGAGGTTGTCACTGCTCTGTCTTCCATTGCTCTGGAATCCCACATGTTGGTCCATGGTCTCACCCATTAGCTGTTTGTAAACAACGCATTGTATCCTAAAAAGAAGCACCACCCGTCATAGCTGACGGTTGGTAGGGAAGCTCCTCTGATGTGGTGCCATTTTGATGAGATGATCTTGGAGACATGAGGATGCCCTGATGACACTGACTTGTCATGGTTGCAGCGTTTGAACGCATGGTATGAAAAGGAAATCTGTAAGTCTATAACCTGGCAACATTCTGCAACCCTGTGTATTCAAGATGGCTTTCTCATGAAATCCAGAACCACACAGCCCTATGGTCAAACACTAGTGACGTTTGTGCCTCTGCTTTTAAAAGGTGCTGTGATGGACAGTTGGCACGCCAGGGTTCGAGAAGACTGGATGGTTTGAAGTGCTTTCCTTTACCTGTGCACAAGCAACTGGCTGCCTCTGTTCCTATTTTACTGTAAATCTGATGGTGTCTGCTGCTGTTCATTCTCCAGAGAGCTTCTAACACCCCCGCCCAAGGGGTAGAGATGCTAATGTCTGGGTAGTCATGGATTTTTGTTGGACATTTGAATGTGATAAACATCACTGGGGAAATACTACATGTGGAATGTGCACATTTCCAGGGGCGAGCATTGTCAGTCAAGAGGTTTGCAATGATTTCCTTCCTGCCAAAAATAAATATGTGAAACCGCGCTCTCCTGTGGGTGGACTGCTTCTTAGTGCCCCTCCTCACCGTGTTCTCCGTTCTCTCCCAGCTCACAGCCTCACACCAGCACCTTGGGTCTCTCTGACGAGCAGGGCCGATGAGAGCAGGACGGCAGGATCTCAGGAGCTGTGGACCTTGACTCCAAAGGAGCTAGAAAACCACTCTGCCCAGTGTTAGGACCAGACAGAAGCAATCTGGCTCACCATCCTCCCCCAAGGATTCCAGCCCTACCCTCAGGCTTCCACGTGCAGCCTGAAGAAACCACAGCCCCCACCCCACCCTCTCAGAGCCACAGGCACTGTGGTACCTAAACCCACAGCCCTTGCTAGCTCAGCGCTGGCTGAGATGCTCTGGTGACCAGGTGAAGCACAGCAAAGGACCAGGAAGAGAATAAGGATACCCAAGACAGTTTCTCGCACTGGGACATCCAGGAAACATGGCCCTCAACCCAGCCCCTCTATACAGGAAGGTAAGGGGCTGCAAGGGTCCCCCCTCACCCCCTCCACACACACACTAGGAAATACGGTCAGAGCCTTGGACACAGCCTTACCACTCTCAGGACTGTCTCTTTATAAAGATACCTAATTCAGATAGCAAAAAACACTAGGGTCAACAATCTCAGCAGATAGTCTTATCTCCATTTTGTGGATGAGAAAACTGAGGTCTGGGAGACAATGCTCTGAAGTCTCTTCTGTCACAGGAATACAGGGTTCTCCCAGGCATGTCTGTTCACCCATAAGAATACAGGGCACAGTGTGTGTGTCAGCCCAGGAAACCTAGTATTTACTCAGAGACAAGCCCATAGCCCCCACAGACAGTCTGTGCCAGGCCCCGAGGTGCCCTCTGCACTGTAGCGCACCTAGCCAGCCAGGACAGCCCAGCTTCCTTCCTGGTCCTGGATTCCCAGGCTGTGTCTCTCCCCTTGCCTTCTCTGGCATCGCCCCCACGCCCCCATTTTTGCATACAGGCAAACAGAAGGTTGAGAACGGTGACTGCCCCTGTAGCTGGGGTGTCCCAGGGAGTGTCCACAGGTCCTCTGAGTAGGCAAGAAGGGAACAGGTCATCACGAGGTCACTTGCTTGGGACCTGGCATACGAGCCTTGACCTCCTGATATTTTCTCATTTGAGCACCTGTCACCTCTGTATTGTAGGACCGGGGCAGGAGGCCAAGGAGGGTGAGTGAGGAGTGGCTGGGAAAGAAGACAGTCGCTGGGCTTACTGACTGTCTAACTGGGTTGCATTAGGAGGCTGGTTGCACAGTCTGCATAACCTGAGATGTTTGAGTGGCACACATCTCCTGTGCCAGGGCTGCCCAGGGATCAACAGGCTGCTCAAGGCCCACGAGCCACCAACTGGCATGGCCACCAGCCTGATCTGCTAGGGGAACACGCTGGACCCTCAGGCCTTCAGGAGCAGGCTACGTGGGCTCTAGGTGTTCCACCCGACACCTCTCTTTCCCAGTGCCTTCTCCCTGCTCCGTGATCCTGTTCTGGCTGCCCATTAGCATCACCTGAGGGCCCTTAAAAATACAGATCCCTAAGCCCACCCCCAGGCCATTTAAACCACGGTCCCTGAGGACTGTTTTTATTCTGTTTTTAAGTGCCTAGATGACTCAAAGGTCATCTATCAGAACTGACAAGCCCCGCTATGACTAGTTGTGGAGGAAAAATTACCCCAAACTTCCAGGCCTGACACCCAGCTTTGGGCAGGGCTTAGGAGGAATTGTTCTACCTGACAGATCAGGCATGTGTTCATTGCAAAAAAAATTCAGGAAACCAAGACAAGTACCCAGAACACATGATACACTGGGAACCTTTCCCAAGGCAGGGATGAGGAAGGAGTCCCAGTAAGAGCCCCATCTAGTTGATAGCTCCCTGCTTTTATACTGAGGTAGGGAGCAGAGTGGCTACCCCACTTCACACCCGAGCAGTGGGCCAGGCAGGTCACCAGCAACACCTCACCTGGCGAGAGGAGTGGCGGGGGATGGTGCCTCCTGGCACCACTCATTCATCTCATTTCTTGGTGCCTTCCTGGCCCCTGATATGTCTAACTGGCGTGGGTGCTCCTGCAGGGCAGGGCCAGACTTCCCCCACCACTGAGACGCAAGACAGCAGCACCTTCTGGTTCTCAGGAGCCTAGGCCTGTTCTCGGCCGTCATCAGGCTCGGATCCCACACGGCCCGTTAGAGTGATGGCCCCATGGGCACAGGGCAAGCTCCATCTCCGGCCCTGGAGGTTCCCAAGGTGCACGCGGGGAGTCGCTCTCCGACCATGCGCGCCCCCTAGGCCGGGGACCGTGTCACTGCTCTTCCGGATGCCTGCACGGCGCGGGGGAGGCGGGGGGTCAGGAGGAGGAGACCTACGCGGGCCCAAGCCTGCTCTCCTCGAGGGCGTGGGACCGGACATGTCCAGACCGTGGGACGTGGGATCCAGAGTCAGGCCGCCCCATCCTGAGTGTAGGTCCTGGGTGCTCCCCGGAGGGGCGCACCACCACCCCCGCCGCGGCACTTGGTCCACAGGAGAGGTGACATCGTGCATCTGTGTGGGAGGGACTCAGGTGAGGCCTGGGGCCCCAGGACAAGGAGCGGGGAACCAGAGAGCAGGTAACCCAGGGGCGGGGCCTGGAGGGGGGCTGGCATCCATTGCCGCCTTCCCCGCCCGCTGCGCCTAAGTCAACATGAACGGCAGAGCTGGCTAGCTGGGCCTTCCGAGATAAGCCCGGGGAGTGGGGCGGGAGCACAGCGTACCGCTGAGAACCCTCGGACCCTGCGGGGCGAGCGCGGAGGCAGTCAAGGCCAGAACGGTGCTGGCCAAGGCGATCCAGGCTCCGTGCCCTTCAGGGTCCAAGCCCGGATGCGTGGGAGGGTGGCCGAGCAGGAGGAGCGGGTGGCGGGGCCCCCTCCTTGTTCTGAGCAGGAGGGAGAGAGAGGCCGGTACCGCCGCCTCCTTGTAGCATACTAGCTGCCTGGGAGCACGGCTCAGGGCCTCGATGTCCTCTCTGTGTGTCAAGGGCCTGATCCCACGGAGCGTGTCCACACCAGACACAAAACGGGGCTGCTCATCTGGGCCCCAGGCCAGGCCCTGGGCCCACTGCCATCTCGCTGGGCTCACAGGTTACAGGGGAGGCTGTTCTGCACTAGGGCAGTTAGGCCCACCCAAGTTCTTCTGGGTCCCAGAGACCCCGGATTTCTAAGGAGAGGGGTCTTGGAGAGGTCCTTGTGCCTCCCCCGACAGCTGCTGAGGCTGCGTGGTGCCGATGGGGTGTCCTGCCCCGCCTACAACAGGCATGGAAGGAGGGGTCATTTTGGTTGAGTCCAGAATGTGGAAAAGGAACCACATTCTCTCAAGGGGAGAGGCCTATAAGCAAAAGAAACAAGTGCAAAGATCCAGAGACTAGAAGTTGGCATCTTGAGACAGGAATTCTGTAGAAGAACATAGAACTGGGGAGAGAGATAGGAGATGCAGCCAGATGGACGGCAACTGGAGATATTATTTTAGGGATGCCAGTGGAAGATCTGAAGCAGGGGAGTGGCATAATCTGATTTATGGCTGAACAATCTCTCTGGCTATGGTGGGAAGATGGACATAGGGGCCAGAGAGCTCATGGTACCAACTAGTGTGAGAGGCTGCCTCCCAGAGCAGGCTGGCCAGGCTCAGGAGCCCAGATGAACCAACCACTGGCCAGCCTGGTGGGTGTGAGGGAAGAAGAGGAACTTGGGATGGCGCTCAGCTTTGGGGCCTGGAGCAACCAGCTAGACGTTTCTGCCTTTTTCAGAGGCTGTGAGGAGGTGGATTTGAACAAAGCCTGACGTGGATGTCAAGCATGAAGGTAGACATGCCAGGGGAAACGTGACCAGAGGAAGGAGATGGATGGAGGCTGAGGGGGGGTCAGGAAGAGTGGGAGTTGGGGTCGGAAGGGACACTGGTGTTTCCATGGTGTTTAAAGCCTGGGCACTGGAACTTGGGAAGAAAATAGGCGACAAGAGCGAAGGCCTGAGCTTTGCGCCTGCTGACACTGAAGGGCTCTAAAGGAGACTGGAGTGGCCAGTGCAGTAGGGAAAAAGCTTGGGCTGGGGGCAGATTCAAGGGGAAGGAGGGGTCAGCAAGTCTCTGGTTGTAGGGGGCGGTGGTAAGGTGAAGACGGGGAGTCAACCCCCGGCTTTCGGACTCTGGCACCTAGGAAAGAAACATTTCTAGGGAATGAGGAGCAAAGATCAACCAGAATGAGCGGAGAAGTTAAGATGAGACAGGGAGAAGTAAGTGCACAGCATTTTGCTGAATATTGGACAAAAGGAGCCGGGACAGGTGCTCAGGTAGGCAGAGCCAAACTCACACATGCATGCACTGCGCATGCACAGGTCCCAAAAGGGAACAGAGGCTCAAAAAGGCATTCTCCTACACACGAGGTCAGACATGCACAGGTGTTGGCCAAGCGCCCTGTGACACAGGCCTCCGTTCATACACAGGGACCCAGTAACTCTATCTGCTAAACAGTCACACACTGGCGGTACGTCCTCCCAGGCACAGTTGGACCTAGATTTCCTGGAGTCGCCCCAGCCTGTGACAGGGGGGAGTGGCAATGAGCACTGAATATGGAGAAAGGGTCTTGGGGTCAGTGGCAGCTTTCAGCAGTGTTTCTGCATTGGAAAGGGAGTCCACACCGGCTGCGCTGTGGCTGGGGCAGAGGCCGTGGTGACCCTGGAGTTTCTGGAAGGCTCTGTCTCCAGCTCCTCCCCATCCCACAATCAGAAAGGGAAGAAAGGGGCAACGGAGATGTGGGAGAGGTATCTTTCCTGGCAAGGGCTGGACTGGCCTCTCCCACGATGGGTATCAAGGCTCCCTGAGGAGGGCTGTGCTGGGCAGTGAGCCCAACTTAGGCCGTGGAGGACAGCAGAGATGCCCCCTTCCCCCCACTTCTGAAGTGACCTGGGTCTCACAAAGCCAGACTGCCAACCCACCCCGCAATAAATAGCCTTGGTCCTGCTTCTTTCTGAAGTTTCCTGGGGTGGCCTGGCCTACTGGAGGTCAGGGATCAGGGGCTGTCAGAAGGGAAGTCTCAGTGGCTTCCACAGCCCACATCTCAGCACAGCCCGGGCCTCCATCCCCAGCTTTCTCTGGCTACCAGTCCAGCCGTGGCCCTGGGGACAGGGCTGGCTCCTCTCAGAGAGCTGGGTCAATATTTGTTGACTGACTAACTGAATGACTCAGGGTGAATGCCCACGCCCGCCAAGCGCTGAGGTATGTTCTGCTGGGCCAGGCGGGGATAGGGGTTGAGTTACAGTGGCCATGGGCAGAGCCGGGCCCCATGCCAAGCCCAGCACTGCCCATAGGCAGGGTGAAGGCAGGAGCCGTTTCCAGCAGGTGGGCTGGGCGGGGAGGAGACTCCCGGGGCCAGGGTGGGAGGGCTGCTCCGAATCAGGAGCGTACCACGTGGGGTCACTGGGCCCAGGGTTGCCCAGGGGCCCGGCAGAGCTGGGGAGGCTGGAGCCGGCCAGCAGGTGAGAACACTGTGGGAGCCAGGGAGGCCGCACTCGGAGCAGCTCTGGGTGGAGCGGGGTCGGGGCTGGGGTGGGGGTGGGGGGGCAGAAAGTGGCAGATTTTCTACAGGATGGGGGTGTCTGTCTCCCAGAGCCCATACCCTTGGGGCCCCGGGCCCTCCCCGCTCCTCCCACTCCAGCAGGCAGCGCCCCTCCTCGCTTCCTGCAAGTCAGGCAAAGTGACCGCGGAGTCCGCCCCTTCACAGGTATCTCAGGAGGAGGAAGTTACACACCCCGGGGAGAGAAGGGGCACCAGAGGAGGGAGGAGGCTCGGGTAAAGACGGGGCGGGGGACCCCGGGGAGGAAGGGGGCCCCGGGGAGAGAAGGGGGCAGCTGAACGGGAGGAGAACCCAGGGCAGAGGAAAAGAGGCTAGGGGAGAGAGGGTTCACTGGGGGAGGAAAGGGGTGGGAGAGGGGTGCCAGGGGACAGGTAGGGGTGTCTGGAGGAAGAAGCATGCACGGGGGGGGGGGAGTCAAGAGAGAAGGGGGCGCGGGGGAGAGAGGGTGCGTGGGGGACGGTGGGGGCACCCAGGGAACAAGAGGGCACCAGGAGAGAAGAGCAAGTCAGAGGAGGAACTGGGCATCTGAGAGAGGAAGCGGGCCGTGCCGGGACAGTGAGCCCCCAGCGACGAGAAAGGGGCTTCCTGCAGGAGAGGACACCGCGTAGGGGGGTGTGTCCCCACTCAGGGTGGGTGATGGAAGGGGAAGAAGGGACATGCTTGGGTGCGAGCGCCTGTGGGTCAGAAGGGGCATGCTAGGGAGGAAGGGACCGCCTGGGGGAAGGAGAAGAGGGTGCTGGGGGAAGAGGGCCCCCACCCTTTGAGCACCCCTTCTCCACCCCCCAGCACCCACGTGGAAGACAGGTGACACAGGATGAGGCCTCAGGCCCCGGGAGCCTGAGAGTGTGACTCCCCAGGCTAGCATTGGATATTGGGGCACCCTGCGAGCCCCTTGGGGTGATGTGGTCCCCACCCAGTGAAAGCAGCCCGGTCCCAACTTCCTGGCCACGGTCTGACTTCCCTGCCCACAGGGAGCCCTGGTGGCCCCTCTGCTGAGCCAGCCAGGCATCCTGTGCCTCTGTCACCGCTTTGCAGTTACAGCTCCTGGTCTGTGCCTCTCATCACTGCCCGCCTGTGCCCTGGTTGCTGTCGGCAGTCACTGCTTCTGCCCGTCACTCATGACACGGCCGCAGCAGTTCTGGGTGCAGTCAGAGCGCACGGTGACTCCATCCACTTTCCCCTCCGCAGTCATGGGCTGATGGGCCTTCAGGGTGTCAGGCAGTGGGAGCCAGCAGTAAACAAGAAGAGAAGCCCTGGAATCCTGTGCTCTAGTGAGGGAGACCAGGCCATGAGCACTTGGGGACTCCGGCTCCAGTTGAGGAGGCAGCTCTAGCCCCACAGGAACCCCCCTTCCCCCTCCCCCCACCCCCCTTCCCCAGACAGCTCCCTCCCCGACCCCTCCCCACCCCACACACATCCATGGCCGCCCTGGCCCTCTTTGAGAGGGTTGGTGGTTTCCCGGTGTGAGCTCACCAGGGCCTGGGCCCGCCCGGATAAAGACCCCGGGAATGTGGGCCGCTCTCGGTGGCCCCCGTCTGTGCCTCTGATTCTGTAACTCTGTATCGCCCCTGCCGTTTCCTTTCCCCTGGTCATGCAGAGTCAAGGTGTTCCTCCTGCGATACAACACGCTGGAGTGGAGCAGGAAGGGGAAGGGAGGGGCGTGAACACCACACCAGGGCCACGAGAGGGGGGAAATTCAGAAAGAAGGGACTTCTGGATCTATGAGGCAAGGCAGTGGCAAGAAGGAAAAGTTGCAGCTGGTGGGATTTAGAGGTCAAAAGAACTTCCACCGGTGAAGCAATGACCAAATCTCAGACAGGGCATTCTGAAGAAGAGGTGCAGGGAAGCCTGGGGTCATCGCGAGTCACCTGCTGTCATGCAACAAAATCCAGAGCTCCCTTCTTCCCCAGATCCTTCTCATTCCACTCCTCTCGCCAGTGCACACTTGGAACCACGGAGCACAACAAAGTTGCTGTTTGGAGAGCCAATGGCTGTTTGCAGTCTGTGTGTATTAAGCATTCAGCTGTGTATCAAGAACGTGAGAGTGTTTTGGCCTGATTTACCCAAGCTGCTCGTGTTGGCTAAGCCTATTACTTGCTGCAGTGTCTGTCACCTTCTTCAGAGTCAGGCTGTATGTTCAGAGTCTGTCCTGGGTTTGCAGAATCTTCATCTTCCCTGCCAAGCCTCTTTCTGTCCTAAGCCTGTTTGGAGAATCTGTCTTTTTTCAGAAGCTGAGTCTTTTTAAACAGTCTGTCCCTCTTTCCTCATGGATAAGATACTTTTTTTTTTTAATTGCAAAAGCTGCCCTGCATACAAACTTCTCCCTGTCTACAGAGCTGGTCTCACGTCCTTGGCTGGGGCATCTCTTTCTGCCTAAAGACACTATCCTTGTTTTCAAAGATTTGTCTGCTTTCAGCACCTGTCAGAGTCAGCAGAACCTGTTTCCTCGGCAGGAAGTATCTCTGTCTCTAGACTGTGTCCCTGCTCACAGAGTCTTTTCCTCTTTCAGAGCCAGGTTCTGTCTGCAGAACCTGAGCCCTGTTTGTACCGTCTGGGGCGGTTTTCCGGGCCTTTGCCTATTTGCAGGGCCTATCTGAGCTTGCCTGGATAGAAACTTGTCTGCAGGCTCTACGCTACAAAGAGTTCTCACCACCAGGTGTCGCTGTGTCTGTGAGCACCTCTGTCTTTCTGTAGAGTCCATCCCTGTTGGCAGAACCCATGTCAGTCTGCACAGTCTATTCCTAATAATTGCATGTGTACTTTTTAACAAGACCTGTTCCTATTGACAGAGTCTTTATCTGTTTCTAGAAATCACCCTTTTCTAAAGCCTGTCCCCGTTTGCAGAACCTGGGCTCTCTACAGAACCCAGCCCTGTTTCAATATCTTGCCGACGTCTGGAGAATCTGTGCTGGACCACAGAGCTGATTTCCCAGCTGGCTCCTTTCAGCATATCCTGCCCTTTCTAAAGACATCACTGTTAACAGAGGCTGTCTGTTTGCAGAGCCTGTGTGGGCTTACAAGACCTCTCCCTGTCTGCCAAGACTCTGTCTCTGAGGGCCTTGTCTACAGAGCCTGTGTCTTTTCACAGAGCCTAAGTCTCTCGGCAGAGCTCATGACTGCTTGCCCAGCCTGTTCCCATCTCCCTGTGTGCAGGATTTGAGGCTGTTTCCCGCGGCTGTCCCTGCATGCTGAGCCTGACCATGCCTAGAGAGCTTTGGCTTGTTTCAGAGTTGCCTCTGTGAGAAGCACATCTCTGACTGGTAACTCTATGCCTGCTTGCAGAGCCTTGCCTATCTGTGTGCCTGTTCATACCTGCAGTGTCTGACCTTTCTACAAAAAGTCCCTGTCTTAAGAGTTCGTCCCCATCCACAAAGATTTGCAAAGCCTTTCCCATTTCTGAAAAGCTCCTCCATACCAGCAGAACCCAGGACTGTTCATAGAGCCTTTCTCAGCATTTACAGCCTTTGCTTGTTTGCCCAGCCTGTCTGAATTTCCCCAGGTACAGTCTGTCTCTCTTCACACAGGTCATCTTTTCAAAGGTGGTGTCTGTCGACAGAACTCATCTTTGTCAGGAGAACCTGTGCCTGTTCCATCCCTTTCTTGGGTCTCAGGAAGCTGTCCCTGTTTGCAGAGCCTGTGCTTGTACACAGAGCCTTTTCTCGGCAGGTGCTGTGACTCTGCACGGCCACCTTCCAGCTGTCTGAAAGACCTTCGCTTATTTGCCTTGTGAGCAGAGCCTGTCTTGCCTACAGGATTCTGTCTTACTTCAAGAGCCTTGTCCCTGTTGGCAGAGCCTGTCCCTGCCTGCAGCACCTGTTGTTACTAAGCAGGGCCCTCGCCCTCTGCAAGCCTAGCACCATCCACAGTGCTTATCTCTGGCTGCAGATCCTACATCTGTCTGTTTTGAACTCTCTCTGTTGGCAGAGGTGGTCCATAGACTCAAAGCCTATCATCGTCCACCAAGGTCAGCCTTTTTTCAAGAGCGCAAACACAGACCACAAGCTAGGTCCCTGTGTGCAAAGCCTCTGTGCTGACATCTGCAGTACCTGTCCCGGTTTTCTGGGACTTGTGTTTACGCAGCCCTCCTCATGAGAGGCACGGGCCATGATGAAGGGGCTTTGGAGAGCTGTGGGCGGGGAGAGCTCCTGCTTGGAGCCCAGAGGACCGGGGGGCGACCCGGGCCTGAGGACTCCGGCTCGTGTTTCCTCTCCCACTCCCTCCGGATCTAGGATGGACACCAGGAGGGGCCTCCCGGACATTGAGAGTCACAGGGACCTCCACATATGGATCATTGAGGTGAGCGGCACGACCAGACAGAAGAACTGGCGACAGAGAGAGTGTTCGGGTCTCTGAGACTAGGCTTCTCCCAGCCCAGAGGGTCATGGTTGCCGGGAGGGGCTCTCCTGAGTCCTCACGAGGCACCCCTCTCTCCCAGAACCTGCAGATGGTGCCAGTCCCCGAGCTGGCTTACGGGAACTTCTTCGAGAAGCACTGCTATGTCGTTCTGCACGTGAGCGCTTGAGGAGCCTTCTGGGGGGACTGGGCGGGGGGGAGGGTCACAGCCCACTGGGGGCTCTGATGATGCAGATTAAGCTCCACCCTGGTAAGAGGCAGGCTGGGAGCCCAAGAATCGCATCCCACAAGGAGGCTGCTGCCGTTGAGGCCTGTTTACCCTTCCCTCCTCATTCTCCCTCTTACCTGCGGGAGCACCAGTCTCCCCAAAGCCCTTGCTACCTCCTCCACCTTGGGCCCCAGCGCACCCCACCCACCCTGGGACCTCAGCCCCCCTACCACACACACACACACACACACACACACACACTCACTCTTGGGCCCTAGGTCCCCCAGAGCCTGAAGGCCACGCCGGGGGTGCCCAAAGACCTGCACTACTGGGTCGGCAAGATGGCGGGAGTGGCGGCGCAGGGCGCGCCGGGCTCCTTCATGCAGCACCTGAAGGAGGCGCTGGGGGGCGCCACCGTGCAGCACCGCGAGGTGCAAGGCCACGAGTCCGCCTGTTTTCGGAGCTACTTCCGCTCGGGAATCATGTGAGTGAGACGCAGGGGGCTGAGAGGGCCGGAAGATGTGGGGGGCTGGCCGCTGGGGCAACTGGCTTCCTCATCACAGTGTGTGGGGTGTGTTGGGGTTGTTGTTTTGTTTCTGTTTTTATATTGAAATCATGCCATACAACCTACCCATATAAAACACACAATTCAGTGTTTATAGTATATCCACAGCCTTCTGTGATCCATCACCACAATTTTAGAACATTTTCGTCACCACCCCAAGAATCCCCCTACCCTTTAGCATCACTCCCCACCTCCTCCCATACTCCTTTCCTTCTGTTTAGATCTATCTCTTCTGGACATTTTACTTAAATAGAATTAGACAATGCCATGAGTGCCTATACCACATTTTATTTGTTTTCATCACTTAATGGATATTTGGCTTGTTTCTACTTTTTAGCTGTTACGGGTAATACTGTTATGAACATACAGATTTGGGCTAGTTTTTGCCCGCATTTTTTTTTGAGATATACAGACTGTATCAGTTTAAGGTGTACAGCATAATGGTTTTACTTGCATGTATCATGAAGTAATTACTGCAATAAGTTTACTCATCATCCATTATTGTATATAAATCTTTGTGTGGACATTTGTTTTTCATTTCTCTTGGGTGTATATCCAGGAGTGGACCCCAGTTTTGAGTTTATTTTTGTGTTACCATGCCCAGTATAAATACGTCTTTTGTTGTAAATTGCTTCAAATATGTATTTAATTACCAAATGCATTGAACCATAGGAAACTGCCAGTATTCGATCATTCTGTTGAACCAAATACATGTAAATAGTATGTACATAAATGCATGCACACGTGTGTACATGCACGTGCAGACAACATGCCAGCCCATATATGTCCACCTACCGGTGGGCACACATCAGTGAGTATTCATGTCCACCTACACACACATACAGTTATGTGAATTCCATGCATACACATCTATACTCACGGATATAGATACACATACCCCACATGCATACCTGGATACACATGTGTGTGTGTCCACATATCTACACATGGATAAGCACATGCACAGTCCTGCCCCCATATGCTTGCACACATGTGTTCGTGTCTGCTTGCACATATGTGTTAAAGAGGCACATGTGTGTCCCCACGTGTGCATGCCCATGTTTGTGTCTGCACTCACTGCCACTCGGGGCAGCCTGTGGTCTCACATGGGACCCTGTGCTCTCCTCAGCTACAGGAAGGGAGGCCTGGCCTCTGCCCTCAAGCACGTGGAGACCAACGTGTACAACATCCAGAGACTTCTGCGCATCCGAGGGGGGAAGCACCTGTCTGCCACCGAGGTGAGAGCTGCGAGGGATGCCGCCTGACCTTGGACTCAGCTGGACTGCATGTCCCAGAGTGTCAGGAGGTGTGGAGGGTGGTGGGGGCAGTGAGGGGAACATGGGCGGTCAGCATTCCCCGATGGCCCATCCTGATGAGGAGAGAGAAGGCAGAGCCCGGCTTCCCGCCCCACCTCTGCCGTGTCTCCTCTGACCCTTGGTCTCCTTGTCTGTCCCGGAGCACATTAAGACCTAGGACAGTGAGGCGGACGAGATGATGCACCTGGGTGGCCCCGGTAAGCAGCACCATGAGAGACAGCATGATCTGGGGAGGTGCACGGCCCCACACTCTCATACACATCGTCGCTGTCACCCATAGGCACACACAGCCTCTCCCACTGCTGCCCCAGAGCTGCTTGGCCCATTGAGAGCCTTGTGCAAATTAGACCTGAGTGCTTCTTACTGCCATCAGGATATTGATGGAAAATACTGGTCTTGTGAGAACAAGATGGTCTACTGCCATCCAGTGTAATAAACAGTCAGGAATCTGACAACTGCAATATGAACGGTGCCCCCGAATTGTGCACATTACCGTCTACACAGTTCTGGGACTCAGAGACAGTCCCACCCAAGCCCATGCAGTGTCACGCATAGATTCAGTGACCGTACATCTGGGTCATGCAGGGCCACCAGGCAGCCCCAGGTTTTGCCTGTTAGCCTGCCATAGTTCTGCAGGGCCCCCGAGTTTACTCTCAGAAGTGCCTCTGTTGGGGTGAGGACTGCCTTCAGCACAGATCACACACTGTCTCCTACACAGGCACATGTGCATGTTACCCGGGAGCACACACAGCTACACACATGGAGAAGCGGATGCGTGAGCCCCACTTGTACCCACGTGTCCACGTACACATGCACTGCTGTGGACATGCGCTGAGAAGTGTCAGAATCAGTCACAGACACCCTGTGAAAGGATGGACACATAACCTGTAGTCACAGACACCCAGAGACGCACCCACCCACACCCACACGGTGACCCTCCAGGTCTCACGTGCTTACACCGATGCATGCCTACACATGGCTCACACATACACCACACACACCACACCACACTCATACATACAGCTAGCTGCACACAAGTGACACGCCTGAGCCGTGCCCACATGGGAAGGGGCTGGCTGCAGGCCCTTCCCGGGGTCCAGGCAGCACGACCCCCCGTCTCCTCCCTGACCCTGGCCCCCGCAGGTGGAGCTCTCCTGGCACAGCTTCAACAAGAGTGACATCTTCCTGCTGGACCTGGGGAGGATAATGATCCAGTGGAATGGGCCCAAGGCCAGTGCGGCCAGGAAGGCGCAGGTCAGTGTCCGCCCCAGGAACGATGGGCTGCAGGGCTTGCAGGGAGGGGTGGTCCTCCGTGGGCCCACCCTCCAGCCACCCCAAGAGGTGGGCATGGCTCTCTGCCCAAGAAGCGGAGAAGCACCTACAAGCTGAGTCCAAATTCCACACTGGGGGTACCCCTAGATACCAGGATCAGGGGGTACCTCCCCAGGCCCCCTACCCCTGGGAGCTGAACAGTGACAGGAAAGGTCTGGGCTGGAATGTCTGAGAGGTGAAGGGGGCATGCTGGGGAGGCCCTGACTTCCACCTCTGGTCCCGCAGGGCCTGTTCCTGACCCACAGCCTCCGGGACAGGGAGCGTGGTGGTCGTGCACAGGTCAGCGTGGTGGATGATGAGGCTGAAGCCACTGACCTCATGGAGATCATGGAAGCTGTGCTGGGCCGCAGAGTGGGCAACCTGCATGACGCGATGCCCAGCAAGAGGATGAATCAGCTGCAAAAGGCCAATGTCCACCTCTACCAGTGAGCTGACCTTGGGAGTGGGCAGGGTGGGTGGAATAGCCCAGGTGGGTGTGTCCATTGTTACTGCAGTAACATGCTGCCTCTGGGAAGCCCTCTAGGAAAGGCTCTTGGCTGTCTGGAGCAGGCCATGAGGCACCTTAGACTCAGCCTGTACTCCTGCATGGCTGCCTATCTGAGAAACCCATTGTACAGACAAGACGACTGAGGCTCTGAAAAGGCCAGGGCACTACCTAAGGCTTCACAGCAAGGCTGCGGTGAAGACCTCAACTCAGGCACCCAGCCCCCAAGCCTTCTGCCTCTGGAGGCAAGAGGGGCAGTGGCAGCAGGAGTGGAGCCTGGCCAGGAAGGGGCTGCGCTGCCCACATCTGCATGCCTGCCCCCTAGAGTCTGCCAGAAGAGCAAGGATCTGGTGGTCCAAGAGTTGTCAACCTGCCCATTGGCCCAAGATCTACTTCAGGAGGAGGTGAGGCAGGCTTGGTGCCAGCCATCCCCACCCACTCCATAACTGCAGCCCAGTCCGGACCACGTACTGACCAGCCCCACTTCTGATCCCAGAACTGCTACCTCCTGGATCAGGGTGGCTTCAAGATCTACGTGTGGCGGGGACGCCTGGCCAGCCTCCAGGAGAGAGGGGCTGCCTTCAAGAGGGCTCTGGTGAGGCTGGAGGCCCTGTCTCAGAGGGTCGTTGTGCCGCCCTGGGGTCTGAGGATGGGAGACATCCGTGTCCTGGGGTCTAAAGGGAGGGGTCGTCCTGCCCTGGGGCCAGGAGGGGGATACCTCCTGCCCTTGGAGCCTTGTCTGATGGAGGAGAATATAACCCCGTCCTGGGGTCCAAGCCTGGAGACCCACTGCCCTGTCTGAGGGAGGAGACACACTCTGACCAAAGACCCCAGGGGAACACACGGCCCTTCTCTGGGGTACCACAGGCTGTGGTTCCCTGGAGGCCCCGGCAGGGAAAGACCAGAGAGCATCCAAGAAGCCATGTGTCAAAGGGGGGCGTGGGGGACCTACCTTGAGGTCTGAGGATTCTCCAGCACTGGGCCTGCCTTCCTTTTCCAGGAGGGGAGGCAGGGTTCTGCCTGGGGTCTGAGGGGCGGTCATAGCCCGCCCTTCCGGACGCCCGGAGTAAGGGGAACCTGCGTGTCCTCGGGGACCTCGGAGAAGTCGGTAGTGTAAGAGCCAGCTCCTTATGCGGGTCGTGAGCTCAGCTAATTAATGCTGTCCAGTGCGGAGCTGGCCCCACAGGTCCCGCGAGGTAGAGTGGAGCAGTGGGCCCTGGGCCACACGCCTGACACAACTCCCGCCCCAGAGCTTCATCCAGGCCAAGGGCTACCCGAGCCACACCAGCGTGGAGGTGATGGACGACGGCGCTGAGTCGGCCGGGTTCAAGCAGCTCTTCCGATCGTGGTCTGGGCCTCAGCGCAAGAACAGGAACCTTAGTGGGATGGGTGAGAGGGCGTGGCCAGAGAGTGGGGCGGAGCTCCGAGCTACTATGGGCGGGGCGGGGCCCAGAATATCCCAGAGAAGAGTGGGGGTGTGGCTGGAGGGGGCGTTTTATGTGATGGGCGGGGCAAGACACCTTCTGTCCCACCCTCAGGTAAACTGCTGCAGGTGAAGCTAGACGTGGGCAAGCTGCACAGCCAGCCTGAGCTAGCCGCCCAGCTCAGGATGGTGGACGACGCTTCTGGGAGCGTGCAGGTGAGGGGCACTGCCTTGGCTGGGTGAAGATGTCTTCAGGTGAACCATGTGTCTGCTGAAGTGTCGCAGGTATGCCCTGGTGCACGTCTGCACACAATCAGGGACCCTCGTACATATACACACACCGCCCGGAGCCAGCTCATACTGTGTGTGACAGTACTTTCACACACAACAGTGGCCGCTTGCTGGGTAACACTCATGGCACTCAGCACAGTAACATCTGGACAATTAATTGTACCCTTTTGTCGAATGTTTGACACAACCATACCTGTTATATTATAGACACACCTTTGTCATTGCACTTATTCACAGCTAGGTACACAGTTGCAAACATGCAGCTAGCTGTACAAACTCTACATCACACATGATCATACCCCCACACATCCAACCTTCAACACAGTCACACCCTGTCAGCCCCCTATCTGGGCTCAGACAGATGTCCTGGGAGATGCAGGGTTTGGGGGCTACTTCCAGGCTCTGTACAGGGCAGGGGTTGCCTCTTGACTTACTGGGTCACCCCTGGTCAGGGCCCTTAATTTCTTCAGGACTCAATTTTTTAGAAGACTCTCTTTTTTTTTTAATCTGTAAAATGGGGCTAAATCTGTGGTCGCACCTGGCCCCCAGGCTGGTGTGGGGGTGCTGTGAGAGACGATGGGAACAGGACAGCTGGGCCTGTTTGAGGGGGTGCTAGTTCTCAAGGTAGGCCAAGGTCAGAGAAAATACTGTTTCTCCCAGGTTCCCTCCAACTTTTGCCCTGATATGGATGGACAGTGGCAATGAGCGGGGAAGAGGCTGAGAATAGGAGGACGGGGAGCAGGGAGAAAGGATGACAGGTTGGAGGACAGGGAGAGACTGAGGGAGAGGGGGGAGAAGACAGAGGAGAGAAGACAGAGGAAGAAGACAGAAGCTAGAGGGAGGAGGGGATAGGGCAGAACGGGAGGGGCGACGGCCCAGGAGAGGAGAAGGAGTCAGGGAGAGATAGGGTACCCAGGGAGAGATGGGCAGCCAGGAGAGAGAGAAAAGGAGAAACAGGAAAATGGAGATCAGGGTAAGGAAGGAAGGAGGGGTCTGTAGCCCAGACCCCAAGTACCAAGGCAGGGAGGGGGACCCACCCACCCCAGTAGTCAGGGGACAGGCAGCCGGGGGAGGGCCCACGCCAGGAGGCCTGGCTGCCAGGTGAGTGCAGCTCCTGGAGGCATGGGACGGGAGTCAGCCTCTTCTGCAAGAAGCAGGATGCTGGGTACTCTGGTCTTTTTCAGAGACTGCAGACAGGCCTCAGGATGCCCCAGTGTTGTTTCTTACTACATCAAAGTGAGCACTGTTACCCCCACTTTACAGGTGGGAAAAACTGAATCTCAGAGTGGACTCCCTGCCCCTGTGGGTGATCAGGATCCGACCGGGGTCTCCCTGGCTTGGCTCCCCCACAGGAAAAAGAGGTCACACCAAGTGTGACAGACTGTTTCCCTTTCAGTCTTAGAACAGGCTTTGCTTTTCTAAATGACACTTGAGAAAAGGAAGATTTTCCAAGAACTTTTGGGCCTTGCTTCTGCCCAGCTTCTGCTCCCCTGGCCTGAGCCGTGAGCCTCAGTGCAGGCCCTGTCTGGCCCTCGCCCGGCTGTGGCTGGCGGGGTCAGGCTGGGGTGGCCTGAGGTGGCCGGGGCAGCCTCTGGAGTCCTCCCTGCTTGTTTGTCGCAGGCGCTCCACACCAAGTCTGAGTCCTGGCTGCGAGCAGCCTGGCGCAGAGGTGGGCCCCAGGGGCCCATGGGGGGGGCACAGAGAATGGGGTGGGTGCCCACCTCGGGCGGAGCCCCTTGCCTGCACAGGTGCAGCCTGCCTCTGGCTGCAGAGAGCGTCCTGGCTGGACAGGTGGGTGGGCTGGTTTAGGCGGAGGCCGCACCCGTGCCCGTTGGTCCGCTGCTCCCCAGATGTGGCGCATCCAGGACTCATGCAGGCAGCCCGTGGACCGCAAGCATCATGGACAGCTGTGCGCTGACGGCTGCTACCTTGTCCTGTATACCTACCAGAAGATGGGCCTTGGCCAGCACGTCCTGTACCTGTGGCAGGTGCGCCGGCCCGAGCCGGGTGGCGGGCACCCTCAAGCCCTGAAGCCGAGGAGCCGCGGACAGGGCCTGGGACCTGCGCCAGGCCCTCACCGCTCCCGCCCACAGGGCCTCCAGGCCACGGCGCACGAGATCAGGGCCCTGAGGGGCAATGCCGAGGAGCTGGGCCTGCGGTGCCGTGGGGCCCTGGTGCAGGAGCACGTGACCATGGGCAGTGAGCCCCCCCACTTCCTCGCCATCTTCCAGGGCCGGCTCGTGATCTTCCAGGTAGGGCTCACCTCGCTGCCCCCGCCACAGCCCCCCTGCTCCTCTGGGTGCCCGTGGCCCTTCCATGCACGGGCTGAGCAGCATCCTGGTGTTTGTCTGAGGCCCAGGCGCTCCAAGGGTGACCCCTGCCTGCCCCATTTCCTTCCCCCGCGTCCCCAGGGCCAACCACAGAATGAGGTGCAATGAAGAAGCCGAATAGGAGGGGAGCCGGGGCCTTGTCTGGGGTCACACACAGACCCAGCTGCTCCCCACCTTCCACCTTTAAGACCCGGGGGATCCTTGCTCTGACCCCTCCAAGATGGGGTGAGGAATCCATTTAGAAAGGGCCTGGTCCCCTATTCCAGATTGTGGGGATCCTCTCACTGCACACTCACAGGGTCCAGAAAACAGAGGTAGCTTTAAGAGACAGGGCCCTGGGTGCCGAGGCAGTGCAGCCCCCACTGGGAAAGGGCGGCAGCCCAGGAGCCCCTGCCTCAGCCTAAGGCCCAGTCCTCTCATAGGGGCACCGCGGGCACAGCAGGAAGGGGCAGCTGGCACCCTCCGTGAGCCTCTTCCACATCCAAGGCACCAACAGCTACAACGCCCGGACCCTGGAGGTGCCAGCCCGTGCCTCAGCCCTCAACTCCAACGACGTCTTCCTGCTGGTGACAGCCAACCTCTGCTACCTCTGGTTTGGAAAGGTAACTCACGCCCAGGGCAGGGGCACCAGGCCAGCGGAGGCTGACCTCAAGCCCAGCCTCAGATAGGCCAGGAAGGAGGTGGTGGAGAGCCACCTGTCCTTTCTGGAACCTGGGGGAAGTTATAATGTGACAGGTGGACAAGGGCGTCCACAGGTCAGAGCCGGGCCAGGCCCGGGCCACCTCCCCTCCTTCCGGCCTCGTTCAGGGACCACGTTCCTCCCCAAGTGTCTTGGGAAAAGGAGGAGGCCTCTTTCAGCTGTCAGGGTTTTCTCTGACCTTCAGCGTAAAACATGAGTGATCTGCACATCTGGAAGTCTCCATCCTGTGCTCTGACCTGGAGAGGGTCCCTGTGACCTTGATCGCCTGAGGAGACAGAAGCCAGGGGTGGGGTGCAGGGAGGCGGAGAGACCCTTGTTCACGTGTGCTTGTCCACGAGCCCGAGCCTCCCGTGACTCCCGCTCCCAGGCCCCCATTAGCGGGGGGTGAGGGGCTGGAGGTGACGCCCTCTCCCACTGCAGGGCCTGACCCGGCTTTCTGCCTTCCAGGGCTGCAGCGGTGACCAGCGTGAGACGGCGCGGGCCCTGGTCACCACCATCTCCAGGGAAGACACGGAAATGGTGCTGGAGGGTCAGGAGCCTCCCGCCTTCTGGGAGGCTCTGGGGGGCCGGGCGCCCTACCCCAGGAGCAGGAGGTGACAAGGCTGGGAGGAGGGTGCGCCCCTGGCCCAGAGGAGGAAACGAGGCCCAAGAGGGTGGGCGATTAGTTACGGGTCACACAGAGAACGAGAGAGAGCCCAGGCGCTCACCCCACTGACTTGTGGCGGGAAGATGCTGGGGAGCACGTTGCCGTGGTGCCCTCTGCTGGAGAAATGCGCTCCCTGCCCGGTCCCGTCCTGGACCATCACATCTGCAGAGGGCCCGGGGGCAAAGCACCGTCCCCCAATCCCGCACTGCCCACAGGTGGTGTCCCCAGGGCAATGGGACACATGGGAAACAGCGTGTGTGCAGTGTGCAAGAATAGTGTGCGTGTGCTGTGTCAGTGGATAAGGAAGGGCAGAGTGAGGTCTCTCAGGGCTCTGGAAGCAGAGCTGGTCTCTCTGTGTCTGTGGGACCTGGCTGTTCCCCCCATGCCTCTCCTGAGCGCCTGCATTCTGCGGTCCCTTCTCTGAGTCTGGGTTCCCTCCTCCTACTCCTCCCACCTTCGGCCGGAGGCGCAGCTCCTGGGCTCCCAGTCCAGGGTGGGGCCAGCGGCTTCTCCCTCCCGGGGCAGTAGGACACCCCCTGGGCCCTCCCTGCCCGCCTGCCCTCCGCACTCAGCCCGCTGCCCCCTCCTTCCCGGCGCTCCTTCCCCGGGAAGTTCACGGGGCAGCTTGTGCTTCGGCTACCTGTGGGTAATCAGATCACCTAGCTCTCTCCACTGACCACATGGAGGCCTGGAGAAGGGCAGGCGTTTGGGGAGTGGACACTGGGATGGGGGAGCTCAGAGGAGGCCAGTGCCTCCGGCCCCAGGAGGCGTTGTGTCCCAGCCCCGGAGGGGTGGTGGAGGGGTGCTGTGTGGAGGGCTGGCGTGGCCCCAGCTGGCCAGAGGCTCAGGGCTCTCTGCGCCCCTCACGGCCTTGTGCCATGCTGGCCAGGCCCCCCGAGGATGTGTCCGACTTTCAGCCACGACTGTTTGAGTGCTCCTGCCAGATGGGCCCCCTGGTCCTCACAGAAGTAGTGTTCTTCAGCCAAGAGGACCTGGACAAGTATGACGTCATGCTGCTGGACGCCTGGCAGGAGGTGCGATCACCTCGGTGCCCGGGGGGTGTATGAATGGGATGCGTCTGCACCTGTCTAACTGGGTGAGAGTGTGTGCGGCTTCCTGTTTCTAGCCATGCGACTGCATATAAGGCTGTGGGTGACTACCTGTGCCCTGAGACCCTGAGTGCCCGTGATCCTGTGGCTGTAGATGAGACGCCAGGGAGGACTCTGTCCCAGGGAGCCCGTGGGAGACTGTGGCTGTGTGTCTAGGGCTCACGTGTGCTTGTAACCAATTGTGGAGCTGGGTGTAAGGTAACTGTGTGCCTTCTGACCACGTAAGTCCAGGCAACCCAGTGCCTGTGGCCGACACGTCAGTGCTGAGTGGGCGTCCATAAAGTGACTGTGTGTGTATGTGTGTGTGTAGTGGCCACAAAGTGACTGTGTGTGTGTATACATATGTGTTTAGTGGCCATAAAGTGATTGTCTATGTGTATATGTATGTGTGTGTACTGGCCATAAAGTGACTGTGTTTGTGTATGTGTGTGTATGTATGTGTGTATAGTGGCCATAAAGTGACTGCGTGTGTATGTATGTGTGTATAGTGGCCATAAAGTGACTGCGTGTGTGTGTGTGTGTGTGTGTGTGTAGTAGCCATAAAGTGACTGTGTGTGTGTATGTGTGTGTAGTGGCCATAAAGTGACTGCGTGCGTATGTATGTGTGCAGTGGCCTAAAAGTGACTGTGTGTGTGTATATGTATGTGTTTAGTGGACATAAACTGATTGTCTATGTGTATATGTATGTGTGTGTACTGGCCATAAAGTGACTGTGTTTGTGTATGTGTGTGTATGTATGTATGTGTGTATAGTGGCCATAAAGTGACTGCATGTGTATGTATGTGTGTATAGTGGCCATAAAGTGACTGTGTGTGTCTATGTGTGTATAGTGGCCATAAAGTGACTGTGTGTGTGTATAGTGGCCATAAAGTGACTGCGTGTGTATGTATGTGTGTAGTGTCCATAAAGTGACTGCATGTGTATGTATGTGTGTATAGTGTCCATAAAGTGACTGCGTGTGCTTATGTGTGTATAGTGGCCATAAAGTGACTGCGTGTGCGTATGTGTGTATAGTGGCCATAAAGTGACTGTGTGTGCGTATGTGTGTATAGTGGCCATAAAGTGACTGCGTGTGCGTATGTGTGTATAGTGGCCATAAAGTGACTGCGTGTGCGTATGTGTGTATAGTGGCCATAAAGTGACTGCGTGTGCGTGTGTGTGTGTGTGTGTGTGTGTAGTGGCCATAAAGTGATGGTGTGTGTATGTGTGTGTGTGTAGTAGCCATAAAGTGATTGTGTGTGTGTGTGTGTGTGTGTGTAGTGACCATAAAGTGATTGCTTGTATGTATATATGTGTGTGTAGTGACCATAAAGTGATTGCTTGTGTGTATATATATGTGTGTGTAGTGACCATAAACTGATTGCTTGTGTGTATATATATGTGTGTGTAGGGTCCCCATGTACCTGCATTTGACCTCTATTTTATTTATTTCCTCTCTGATCTTTATTATTTCCTTGCTGGTGCTGACTTTAGATTTTGTTCTTTTTCTAATCCTTGTAGGTAACAAGTTAGGTTGTTTATTTGAGATTTGTCTAGTTTTCTTGAGGATGGCTGTATCACCATGAATTTCCCTCTCAGGACTGCTTTGGCTGCATCCCATAGATTTTTGTATGGTTGTGTTTTCCTTGCCATTTGTTGGCATGCGTGCATTTGTCTGTGTTCATGCAGCTGTGCGTAATGGCTGTGTGGTTGAGGAACTAGCTGTAAGTGGCCAGACCAGCCTGGAGCAATGATGCTGTGCAAGAGATACTGTGAAACTGACTGAGGGTGTGGGCACCTGAGTGAATGTATTCATGCGACTGTGTAATCACGTTTCAGTGTGGCTGGATGCAGTGATGTTTCAGGATAATGTTTTCCCAGGCTGTGCGATCCAGTATGACTGTATGACTGTGCTTAGGTGCAGCTGTGTCTGTGTGTGGGTGATTGTGTGTGGCTGTGATTTGCCCTCTGGCTGAGTGGTGATGGATAGTTGTGTCTGTGTAGCTGTGGCTATGTGTGTGTGTGTGTGTGTGTCTGGGACTCTGTGAGTGTGGCAGGGAGGCCTTTGGGCTCCCATCCCACTCAGAGCACAAGCAAAGACCTGTGACCAGCAGCCCTGATTCCCCATCTCACTCACTCTGCTCCGGCCACCACGTCCTCCTGACTACTCCTTGAACATGCCAGCACGCTCAGGGCCTTTGCGCTACTTGTTCCTCTGCTCAGAGCATTTCCCCCACCGCCCCCCACCTCCCTCAGATCTTGACTCAAATGTCATCTTTTCAGTAAGGCTTTCCCTGACAGTATCTACCACTTCACCACACTACCACCACTTTTCTTTCTCTGCCTTATTTTTCTCCATCTGATATTCTACATATTTTACTTATTTTGGGGCCTCCCCCAGCAAAATGAAAGCTCTGAAAGGGCAGGAATTTTTGTCTATGTCTTGTCCATGGTTGAGTACCTCGTCCCAAAACAGTGCCTGGCACAGCATGGGTACTCAGTAAGTGTGTGTGGATTGACTGCACACATGCACGCCTGCGAACCTCCTGGCATGTTTCCGGGTGTGTGGCCCACCTGCTGGGTGGGTCTGGTTGGCTGGGATGTGTGTGGAGGGGGCTGAGACCACCTGATGGACAGGGCTGGGAGGGAAGAGGTCAGATCCCCCCACCCAAGGCCAGGCCCCCTCTGTGGCCCAGATCTTCCTGTGGTTGGGGGCAGCTGCCAGTGAGTGGAAGCAGGAGGCTGTGGCCTGGGGCCAGGAGTATCTGAAGACCCACCCGGCAGGGAGGAGCCTGGCCACACCCATCGTATTGGTCAAGCAGGGCCAAGAGCCTCCCACCTTCACTGGATGGTTCTGCACCTGGGACCCCTACAAATGGAGTGTGAGTGACACCTGAACACCCCCATCTCCACCCTAATCCAGGGGGAGGGGACCACCCTTGTATACTGAGGGGGAGCCATCACCCTGCCCAGGGACCTCCAGTCTGTGGACAGAACCTGATCCCTTTGTTGCCCCTCCATTGAGCCCCCATCCTGATTCTTGCCCCTAGTACACCCAGTCCTACGAAGAGGTGTTGGAGGGTGACCTGGGAGCAGTTTCTACCATCTCTGAGATAACAGCCGTAAGTATGAGGGCCCCCCTTGCCTGCTGGCTCAGATAGTGAAGAATCCGCCTGCAATGCAGGAGACCTGGGTTTGATCCCTGGGTTGGGAAGATGCCCTGCAGGAGGGCATGGCAACCCACTCCAGTATTCTTGCCTGGAGAATCCCCACGGACAGAGGAGCCTTGTGGGCTACAGTCCATGGGGTCACAGAGTTGGACCCAGCTGAGCAACTAACACTCACACACACACACTCATGGGTCTGGGCTGGCATGGCCCAGAGACCAGAATGAGCAGGGAAGGAGCCAGGCGCCAGAAGGGGCAGGAGTGGTGTTGGGGGCAAGAGGACCAGGGGGCTCAGTGCGGCCTCCCGAGGGAGCCTATCCCCCAGCTTCCTGAGCCTGAGGCCCCTCTCCTGGCAGGAGATCGTCAACTTGCGGCTGTCCAGATGGCCAGGCAATGACAGGGCAGGCCTGTTGGCCCTGCGGGCCCTCAAGAGCTGCGAGGACAGCTCCGAGAGCGAGCTGGAGCTGGGCCCCCGAGCGGGCCCCGGCAGCCGGAGCACCGTCAGCAGCGCCAGCAGCAGCAGCTACCAGAGCAGCCCCCGATCCCTGGGCAGCGGGGGCCTGCCCCGGGAACAGCTGATGCACCAGGCTGCCAAGGACCTGCCGGAGGGCGTGGACCCGGCCCACAAGGAGGTGGGTGCTCAGAACCCCTGCCGCTCCCAGTCCCCACCCTCGTGCAGGGAAAGCTGAGCTGCAGGCACCCAGGGCATGACCCACAGGTGGTGTGCCATGGGCGGCTGCCCTGGGAGATGAGTGTTCCAGATGGGGTGATGGGCAGAGAGACGTGGGAGAGGACGGCACCTCTGGGTGGGTGGGACAGGGTTATGGGACAGGATTATGGGCTCAGCTGACACCCTGCTTCTGCACCCACTCTCCTGCCCCCGCCCTGCCCCAGGCCTATCTCTCAGACTCTGATTTCCAAGATATCTTTGGGAAGTCCAAGGAGGAGTTCTACAGCATGGCCAAGTGGAGGCAGCAGGAGGAGAAGAAGCAGCTCGGCTTCTTCTGAGCCCAGGCCCTGCCCTGCCAGTACCACACAGATGGCCCAGGTGTGGGCACCTGCCTGCTGGCACCTCCCTGCAAATACCTGAGCCCTCCCTCCTTGGAGACTCCTGGTCCCTAAAATAAAAGCCGGTGGCTCTGACAAGGCGTGGTGAGTGGGCTTTCAGGGTTGGGTCACTCAGGTCTGCCTCTTAGGGGAGTGGGCCTCTGGGACTGCGGTGGCGGGTGGGCTGTGACATTCCAAAGCCTGAGCCCTCCAGGCCCTCCACCTTGAACGGGTTTGTTCCGTGCTGGTCCGTCCTGCCCAGGGGAACAGGCACCGCTCCCACCCCTTGCTCCACTGTGAAGGTGGAGAGAAGTAGAGAATGAGGTGCTGGGGCTGCAGGGCTCTGGGACACACATGCACACACATACACACACACACACACACACATGTACACACACACACGCTTTACAGGGATTTTTCTGGTATCCAGGTAAAGAGACCACAATACTTAGTTTTACGATTTTTATAAAAACCCTCAACCCAGGGCTCGGCCGGAGGATGGAGAGAGGGCTGCAGTGTGGTTCCTAATGGAAGTGAGGACAGCACCAGGGCTCCTGAGAGGCAGCAGCACAGACAGTAGGCTGGAGCTGAAGGCGGTGCAGGGCTGCCGGCTCTGAGCAAGGGGCTGAGACAGCCCCCATCGGGCCCCCAGATGTGGACAGAGGGTCCGGCCTGCTCAGGGCAGCCCTCACCAGACCCCCCCGAGCCTAGTCCCGGAGAGCCACCTTCACAAAGAGCGTGGCAGATGGGTGCTGGTCTCCATTCTTGGAGAGGAGGTGGACATGGCGATATCCTGGCGGGCGGAGGGGCGGGGAGGGGTGCACCAGGAGAGTTCCGTTCACTCAGGGAGGATGCTCCAAGGGACAGCCAGCCCCCGCCCGAGAAATGCCTCCCATCCCACCCCGCCCCCGGGTCGCCTCCTTCCTCACAGACACTCACCCTCTTTGAGGCTTTTCAGGGGGATGGTGCTCTGGCCAATGAAGTCGTTTTTGGAGGAGGCGTCATAGTCCTCCACCACAAAGCGCACGAGGGCAAGCTCAGGCACAGCCACCTCGAACTCAAACTCCGTGTCCCACCATGGGTTGAAACCTAGGGGGTGCGAGCACCGTGTCAAGAGCACGTATGCCAGCGCCAGGAGCCAGGCTCAGCCCGGGCCCAGCACGTACCATTATTGGTGACCACGGGGGTCTGGCGGCTTGCCACGTCCCGGCTCACACCGTGGATCTCCACTGTCACCTTGGGGTCCACAATTGAATTCTTGTTCTTGTTGACTTTTGGCAGCTGCTGCCCAGAGATGACCTGAGGAGAGGCAGGGGATAATTAAGCGTTCAGGATGGTAGGGAGGGGGAAGGGAGGCCCGGGGCACCTGTCCCCCCAGTGGCTGGCCGTACCCTGACATTGAGTCGTTTTGGAGTCCACCAGGGCCCCTGAGCCAGGGCACGGGAGTTGAAGATGGAGTTGGGGTCTCGCAGGAAGGCAGGCTTCAGCACGTAGCCACAGGCCCCATTGTCCAGGAAGCGGCCCTGGTACACATCCATCTCTGACCCAGGTGTCTGGAAGTTCAGGGCCACTACAGGCAGGATAGAGTAGTCACAGGCTGTGGGGGGGTCTCAGGGGTCCCAGAGCCCAGCTGGCTTGGGATACACTGGGGCCCAGAGTCACAAAGTGAGGCAGAAGCAGGGTCCAGGATCACTCCAATGCCTACTGCCCTGCTGCTACCCTAATTGACCCACCACACCAACCTTACATTCCATTTCTGGGGCCAGAATTCAAAGGACAAGTGTGCTAATGATGAAATTTCAGAGGCTGTATTTGTGGGCGGGAGATATTTCCAAACTGAGATTACCAGCTCTGAAGCCCACAAATCCGTGAATCTGGCTCTGCCTGGGTCCTCAGAGGCCCCTGGCCCTCCAGACAGAAACCCTCACCCAGGGCTCCTCCAAGCCTCAGCCAGCCCATACCGATCTGGCAGCCCCCATTCCACATCTCCACGGGGCTGTAGTTAGAGGAGTCGGTTCTCCACCCAGCCGGGTAGATCCTGCTCAGGTGATCCACATTGTGGCGGACGAAGCTGTTTCCTGCGGGGGTGGTATGAGTTGGTCAGAAGCAGAGGCCTTCTGGGTGAGCCCAAGCCCCTCCCTAACATCGTGGAGTGCCGGCTCTGGGCAATATCTGGAGGGGTGGGAGATAGTCCTGGCCCTGGCCAGCTCAGATGGGCAGCAATCTAGGGGGTGGGGAGGCAGGGCCAGCTTCACCTGATTCTTGGAGCAGTCGGAGGGCGCGGTTCTCAGAGAAGGATGACATCTCATAGAAAGCCTGCCCAGAGGTGCCAGGGCTGGGGAAGCCCCGAAAGTGGACGCTCTTGCAGTAAACAACCATGTCGGAGAGTTCCTTCGCTAGCCTGAGCTTGTCCTCCTGGGGGCCATGGGGAGGCCCGGGTTAGACTCAGAGATTGGGGCAGGTGGGCACTGAGAGAGCCAGAAACCCAGACAGAGACAGAGAGAGGGGGCAGAGGGTCTGAGTGGCAGCCACAGAGCACCCGGACAGGGCAAACATCCCACATGGTGTGGAGGGTGATGATGGGGGAAGGCCCCAGGGCTGCCCCTGCGCCCCCACAGCTCCCCCTCGAACCTTGGACTTGTGCTGCACTTGGCTCCTGACTGCCTCGTCCTCCATCTCAGCAGCCTCATCCTCATCTGACACCACAGTGGCCTCTGGGCCACCTTCTCCTCCAGGCAGGAAGAGCCCCCCGAGCTTCTTCCCCTTCAGCAAGATCTTCCCCCTCAGTTGCTAAGGATGGAGGGGGCAGCTGGTCAACATCCAGCTGTCCTCCCGGCCAGTCCCCTGCCCTCTCCTCTGGGCACCGGGTCCCCATGGGGCACCTCAGGGGAAGGCAGGCTGGTGATGACCCCGTCCAATGGCCGATCCAACAGCATGGGCCCCAGGAGGGTGCGCAGGTGCCGTGCCATCACGCGCTGCTGCTCCAGGCTGCAGTGGTTCTCCAAGGACAGGATGACGGGGTAGGGGGATGCCTGGAAGCCCAGGGGTAGATTAAGAGGGGTAGGTGGCCCCCGAGTTCTTCCTCCTCACCCCCAGGGGCGCGCCCACCTTGAAGGCATAGTCCCGGATGGCCCTGACGGCGTCGCAGAAGAGGATCTTGGAGGTGAAGGTGTAGCCATGATAGATGATCGGCTCCTGGTTGGGCCCATCCCAGCAGTCGAGCTCCAGGCAGCGGCAGCCTTTGCACAGCGCCCTGCAGGTGGGGCGGAGAAGGTAATGGCAACCCACTCCAGTACTCTTGCCTGGAAAATCCCGTGGACGGAGGAGCCTGGTAGGCTGCAGTCCATAGGGTCGCTAAGAGTCGGACGACTGAGCGACTTCACTTTCACGCACTGGAGAAGGAAATGGCAACCCACTCCAGTGTTCTTGCCTGGAGAATCCCAGGGACGGGGCAGCCTGGTGGTCTGCCGTCTATGGGGTCTCACAGAGTCGGACACGACTGAAGCGACTTAGCAGCAGCAGCAGCTGCACATTGGGTGTGGGCGAGGCCCTTGGTCCCGCCCAGGTCAAGCCCGGCCCCGCCCCACCACGCCCCACCACGCCCAAGTTGCCCTGCCCCACCGGATGTAGGCTTCTGTGCTGCTGGGACCCGTGAGCTGGTCTTCCAGCAGGTAGGTGTTGTGCGAGGACGACACCAGGTAATGGCTGAGCGGCTGGTCCATGTCCTGGTAGACGCGCCGGTGCGCCAGGTCGAAGGCGCTGCCGTCAGCCGAGAGCAGGTACATGAGAAAGCCGTCCTTGGTCATCTGACGCTGCGCCTTGGCTGGGAGGCGGGAGGCAGGAAGGCGACGGAAGGTCAGAGCGCCCTGGGAGCAGGGGTCCCACAGCCCCTCCTCCCATCCTGAGCTGGTGCTCCGGTATCTCTTGGAAGGGGGTACGTTTGAGTCTCTTGACCAGACCGTGACTATACCCCAGCGTGGGGCTCTGTCTCTTCCTCTTCTGTCCCCCACTCGGTGAGGCCCCCCGAGGGTAGGACCTCCTCACCGCCTTCTCCAGGACTGGGCCCCCATCTGACGTCTTAAAGCGTTGTGCCCAGCATGGGCTGGGAAATATCGCCCAGGGGCCCTGGGGATGGCTGAGGCGTCCCCTGCCCTCCAGCTCCCTACTCGGGCTGCCGTCTCCCCAGAGGTCTTCCCGCCGCGTGGGGCCCGGGACTGCAGGTCGCAGGCCCTCACCCGTCTCGTTGGGTTCGTAGCGCTCAATGAGGGAGAGAGCCAGTGCAGGCCCCGCCGCCTCCTCCCGCTGCTGCTGCTGCAAGAAGGTCACCAACTGATCCACCGACAGGGTCTCTTTGGAGCCGGTGGCCTCCGCGAAGGTTCGGTCGATCTCCTTCCTCTGGGTCAGTATCTTGTAGAAGGTCTCGATCTCCTCATCCTCCAGGGAGTCTGTCTGAGAGTGGTCACATTCCTGCAGAGCCAGGACGCCAGGTAGGCAGGGCTCAGAGCCGGCCCCAGGCTGTGTTCCAGATGCACTGCCAGGCAGACCCAGCCCTCGCTTCCTGCCTCACCTTGAAGATCTTTCGGGCATAGCTGTCGTCCACCTGGATGTTGAGCTCCTTCAGGAAGTTTTGTAGCTCTTTGAAGCTCATCTTGTTGTCCTTGTTTTTGTCAGCTTTTCGCAAGCAGGAATGAATCCAGCTGGGCAAGAAGTAAGGAAAGAACCCCAGGAGCCCTGGTACCCCCTAGGTCCCAGCCAGAGCCATGGCTCAAGCTCAGGGTCAACTCCTAGGCCCAGGTGGACTGAAGGCTCCTATATACCCAGCTCCCAGCAGGCCTGGCTGCTGGCACATCTGCATTTCAGTGGGACCTAGTAGCCTCTTTGGAGGAAATATGACATCCAACGAAAGAGTCTTTTTCCTACTTTCTGGCTTTGAACCCTTTCAAAATTTCAAAAGTATTTATTTTCTCACTCTTAAAGGTCCATTACAGACAGTTGAGAAAATGAAGAAAAGTGAACAAAGGCCCCATAGTTCTATCACCCAGAGGTACCTACTGTTAATATTTCAAGGTATGTCCTTTGGTTTTCAATGTATAATTATTACTCAACTTGACTAAAGCATTTAAGGCTTATTTAGTAGGAAATAGCAAATTTCAAGCCACTGATCAAAGGTGGGGACATCACATGCAAAACAAAGCCTGGATCATGGTGTCTTGATTGCAGTGCTTTGGTCCCCACTTCTTTCCCTTTATCTCTCCCATCAGCCTTGAACTTGAGAACTAGAAAAGGAGGGGCTCCATACTACATTCCAGAGAAAACAGAGAGCTAATTATAGAACAAGACAATGGGAACTCATGAGCACAATGAAAACATGATAGCAGTTTTTGGAAGAAATCAGAAAGGAAACAACAATATAAATCACGCCATATAAACATTTTTAAAATTCTGAGGATCAAATAAAGAAAAAATAAATTCATCTATCTGACAGACTGGAGGAAGCATTTGCAGCAAAGTTTTTGAAGAATTAATTAAAAAGAAAAGAGTATGATGACCCTAAAAACTAAACGAGAAAGGGATATAAACCAAACTTTTGCAAACATTGCTAGTAATCAAAGATATTAACAATTTGGAAATAAGATGCAATTTATTAGATGATAAATTTAGCAACTTAAAAGTATATTCCCAATGCTAGTAAGGGTGAGGTTAAATGGACACTCATTCATTAGTTGGACAAAGTAAACTGCTACAACCCTTAGGAAGGTAATGTAGGGATATCAACCTGTTACACCAGTTGACTCAGTAATTCCACTTCTAGGAGTCTAGGTAAGGAAATACTTCTGAATATGAAAGGTTTTATGAACGTAGTCCTTTGCAATGTTATTTATAGAGGTGAAAGATAAAAACAAATGAGATGTTTGACACTAAAAGAATGGCTCACTAATTTATAGTACATTCACTCAGTGGAACAGTACACAGTCATTAAAGCTGAGACTGTACTAACACAGGGAAATAATTATGACATAATGTTACATAAAAAATGACACAAATATGTTAATCTTCATTATTTTGGGCAAATGCATCGTTAGACAAAATGAAATGCAGCAAGAAAAGATTAAAGGGAGAACTCAAATGTCAGTAGTTTCCGGAGGAGGCAGGTTTTCTGGGCCTTAAAGTTTCATTCTAACATACCAATATAGTTAAATTTGTATTTATATATATATGTATGTTTTATGTAAATATATTATACATTTACATAAAAAAACATTATGGTAGAATTCCAGGTTAAAAAAAATACAAGTTCACAGTGGTCCACCCAAGCATAATGTCCCAGTGCTGATTGCTCTTCAGCAGGCTGGAATGGCTTTAAGACCTCAAGGTCTAGGCAGCAGAAGCCTGCAAAGGGCATGAGATTGTCCAAGCACAAGCCTGTGCAAAAGGAGTGACTATTGGAAAAGTGCCATAGAACTGGGCTGTTACGAGAGCTCAAAATTGGGCTTCCCTGGTGGCTCAGTGGTGAAGAATCTGCCTGCCAGTGCAGGAGACACAGGTTCAATCCCTGGTCTGGGAAGATCCCACATGCTTCAGAGCAACGAAGCCTGTGCGCCACAGCTATTGAGCCTGTGCTCTAGAGCCCAGGAACCACAACTATTGAGCCTGCCAACCTAGAGCCCATGCTCAGCAACAAGAGAAGCCACTGCAGGGAGAAGCCTGTGCATTGCAACGAGAGAAAAGCCCACACAGCAGTGAAGACCCAGCACAGCCAAAAATAAATAAATAGATAAAATTATTTAAAATAAAGAAAGTTCAAAGTTAGGCAGACAAAGCCTTGAGAAAAACACTTAAAAGTCTCTGAAATGCTAAAAAGCACACAATAAAGAGATTCTACAGAGTTCAAAATGTCTCCCAAAGGAGCTGGATATACACTAGCAATGAGTAATCAGAAAATGAAATTAAGAAAATAATTCCATATAGTAACATCTAAATGCATAAAAATACAAATTCTTTTAATGTATAATTTATACTTTGAAAGCCACAAAACATTGTTGAAAGAAATTAAAGATCTAAATAAATGGAAAGATACCATATATTTGCAGATCAGAAAGAAGACTTGATACTGTTAAATGAGGAATAGTCTCCAAATTAATCTACAGATTCAGCACGATACCTGTCACAGTCACGCTGGCTACTTTGCAGAAACCTAAAACCCCATCCTCAAATTCGTATGGAAATTCAAGGGGCCCAAAAGAGTCAAAACAATCTTGAAAAAAATAAGTTTGGAAGACTCAGACTTCAGGATTTCAAAGATTCCTACAAAGTTACAGTAACTAAAACATTGTAGTGCTGGTGCAAGAAGAGACATTTAGATAAATGGAATTTAGATAAATGGAACAGAGGACTTCCCTGGTGGCCCAGTGGTTAGGACTCCAAGCTTCCACTGCAGGGGTTATGGATTCAGATCCCTGGTTGTCCCTCTGTGTGGCATAGCCAAAAAAAAAAAAAGAAGGTCAAATGGAATAGAATTGAGAGTCATGCAGTAAATCCTCATGCTGCTGCTGCTGCTAAGTCGCTTCAGTTGTGTCCGACTCTGTACGACTGCATAGACGGCAGCCCACCAGGCTCCCCTGTCCCTGGGATTCTCAAGGCAAGAACACTGGAGTAGGCTGCCATTTCCTTCTCCAATGCATGCATGCTAAGTCGCTTTAGTCATGTACAACTCTATGTGACCCTATGGACAGCAGCCCACCAGGCTCCTCTGTCCACAGGATTCTCCAGGCAAGAACACTGGAGCGGGTTGCCATTTCCTTCTCCAATGCATGAAAGTGAAAAGTGAAAGTGAAGTCGCTCAGTCCTGTCCAACTCCTAGCGACCCCATGGACTGCAGCCTACCAGGCTCCTCCATCCATGGGATTCTCCAGGCAAGAGTGCTGGAGTGGGATGCCATTGCCTTCTCCTGTAAACCCTCATATTTGTGGTCAATTGACTTTTGACAAGGGTGTAAAGATAATTCAATGAGGAAATAATAGTCTTTTTAATAACTGTATGTCTACATGCAAAAGAAATATAAAGGTGAATCTCTCATATCACACCATACACAGAATTTACAGAAATGAACTCAGAGTGGATCAGAGACGTAAATGCAAGTGTTAAAACTATAAGAAAAAATATGAGTAAATGTTTGTGACTTTGAGTTAGGCTAAGCCTTTTTAGATATGACAACAAAAAACACAGGCAACAAAGGCAAAAGGTAAATGTGTTAGAGCTCACTGAAACAAAAATTCTGTGCTTCAGGGAAACCCACCAAAATAAGAACAGAACCCACAGGATGGAGGAATTAATTGTAAAGCATATATCTGATAAGAGACTTGTGTTTATAATATTAAAAAAATTCTCACAACTAAATAATAGAAAAGTAACTCAATTAAAAAATGGGCCAGAGATCTGAATAAACATTTCTCCAGAGGAGATACACAAAGGCACATAAAAATGGTCAATATCATTAATTATAAGGGAAATGCAAATCAAAACCACAGTAAGATACCTATTTTAAAAAGAAAATAACAAGAGATGGTAAGGATGTAGAGACATTGGAAGCCTTGAGCACTGTTGGTGGAGATGTAAAGTGGTACATGCTAAGGAAAACAGAATAGGTGTTCCTCAAAAAGTTGAAAATAGAATTACCAGATGATGTCACAATTCCACTTCTAGGTATGTACCCCGAAGAATTGAAAACAAGGTCTCAGATACTTGTACACCCATGTTAATAGCAGCATTATTCACAATAGACAAAAAGTGGGAGCAACCCAAGTGTCCACTAGTGGGCGAATGAATAAAGTGTGGTGCATACATACAATGGAATATTATTCATATTAAAAGGATGGAAATTCTAACATATGTGACAACATGGAAGAAACTTGAGGACATTGTGCTAAGTGAAATAAGCCAATGGCAAAATGACAAATACGGCTGAGTCCACTTATATGAGGAACCTAGAGCAATCAAGTTCATAGAGACAGAAAGTACAGCAGCGGTTGCCAAAGGCTGGGGGAGGCTGGAATGAGGAGCTACTGTTTAATGGGTACAGAGTTTCAGTTTTACAAGATGAAGAGTTCTGGAGATGGCCGAACAATAGTGTGAATGTACTTAACACTACTGAACTGTTTACCTAAAAATGCTTAAAACAGCAAATTTTATGCATATATTACCACAATTTAAAATTAAATAGATCCATTAAAAAGAACAACAAATGGGCAAAGATCTGTTGAATAGCTATTTCTCCAAAGAGATATACAAATGTCCAGTAACCACATGTAAAGATGTTCAACTCATTAGCTATCAAGGAAATGCAAATCAAAACCACAGTGAAGTGCCACTTCAAGCCCACAGGATAGCTATTATAAAAAACGGCAGATAACAAGGATTAGTGAAGATGTGAAAAGTCAGAACCCTTATACACTGCTGGTGGGAGTATACACTTCCTCTCTGGAAAATAGGTAGTTGTTCAAAAGTTTATAGTTACCACAAGACTCAGAAATTCTTGGTAGGTATCCAAGAGAAATGAGAACATATGTCCACACAAAAACTTATACACAAGTGTTCAGAGCACCATCATTCAGAGAAGCAGAAACCCAAATGGCCATCACCTGCTGATCGGATAAATGTGGAATAGCCAGACAGTGGAATATTATTAGGCACACAGAAGGAATAAAGTACCAATACAGGCTATGACATGGACAAACCCTGTTGTTTAGCCACTAAGTTGTGTCTGACTCTCTGCAAGAGTCAGACTATATAAGAGTCAGTCCTAGTGGACTATATAAGCCCACTAGGTTTCTCTGTCCATGGGATTTTCCAGGCAAGAATACAGGAGTGGGTTGGCATTTTCTTCTCCAGGGGATCTAACTTCCCAACCCAGCGATTGAACCCTCGTCTCCCGCGTTGGCAGGCCGATTTTTTTTACTGCTGAGCCACCAGTGTGTCTCCGTAACATTATGCTAAGTGAGAGGAGCCATTCAAAAAAGACTGTAGGTATTCCATTTATATAATATGTCCAGAAAGACAAAGTATCAATAGATTTGTGAGACAGAAAGTAGCTTAGTGGTTGTCTAGGCCTTGGGGGTTGTGGGGAAATGGGAACTGCTAAAGAGTATGGGTTTCATTTTAGGATAATGAGGATCTTCTAAAATTCACTGGGTGATGGGTTGCATAACTGTGAATACACTAAAAAGCATGGACTTGTACACTTTTAGTGGATGACTTATGTGGTAAGTGAATTATATCTCAGTAAAGCTGTCATTAAAAAAAAAAGAGTTGGTACTGGTTCTACCCTAATCCTATATACCAGAAGCCTGTTCTCTTTCAACCATAGAATAGCACATTGTTGTGCCCTAGATTTTGAAGTAAATTTGTTTCAAGCCCCCTGGCTGGCCTGCATCAGGCCTGGGAGAACTTGATCACTCTCCAAAGAATGGCACAGGGGATAGGGGTAAGTGGGAGTGGACCATGGCCTCCCAAACTCCCAGAGGGGGAAAAAAAAATGCAGCAACTCTAGGAAACATTAAAATGTCTAAGACTAGGGGACTTCCCTGGCGGTTCAGTGGTTTAAGAGTCAGCTTCCAATGCAGGGGGTTCAGGTTCCATCCCTGGTCAGGGAACTGCCCACATGCTGAATAGCAGGGCCAAAAAAAAAATCTTTAATAGATAAAAAAAGAAAACTAAGACTGTTTAAAAAAAAAAGATACATAATGTTTTTTTTTTTTAAGTCCAAGATTAGGTCTCCCACTGAAGCAGGCAGCTCCCCTCAGCCTCCCTAGTCTCACAGCTCTGCTGGTTACAGCGAGGGCACGAGGGCCATCACAGAGCTGCACTGCCGTCTGGCCCTGGGGTCAGAGTGGACAAAAGAAGGCCCAAGTACCTTCCCTGCTTTCCCCAACTATGTTCTCTCAAAATTTGTACATTGAAGCCCTAACCCTCAATGTGATGTATTTGCAGACAGGGCCTTGAGAGACTTAGATAAGACCACGAGTGGGGCCCTGGTGATGGGATTAGTGCCCATGTAAGAAGAGACACCAGAGATCTCGCTCACTCTCTCTCCCCGCCTCCCCTCCCCATGTTAAGACGGAAGACAGCCATCTACAAGCCAGGAAGAGAGCTCCCACCAGAACCCACCCCTGCCTGCCACCCTGATCTTGCATTTCCAGCCTCCAGAACTGTGAGCAAATTAATTTCTGTTGTCTAAGCCACCCAGTTTATGGTAGGTTGGTTATGATGGCCCAAGCCAGGTGTCTTCCATACCGAGGCTGCCCTGGGGACAACCATAGCCAGTAGCCGCAGGCTGGGTCTGGGTCCACTGCCCCCAAAAGGATACTGTCGCAGCTTCTGCCGCTGGTCCATGGAGCCCGAGTGGTGGATAATCTTGCCCAGGCCCTGCACCCAGTGCTGGGCATCGGCTGGTGATGGGGCAATGAGGTCTAGAGTACTGCGCTGGTCCTTGAAGATGATGGAGAAGCAGCGGTTCTCAGGCACGTCCCGAGCAAACTTCTCCAGGCCTTCTGTGCGGTGCCCCATCCGCACCTCCTGAATGTCCTCGATGGAGACTGCGGGAAGGGGGCGGGGGCAAGAGAGAGCCATGAGGGGCAGGTGGATAATCAGAGTGGGGACAGAAAGAGGCTGGCGTGGAGAAGGAAAGGGAGACACAACAGCAGCAGGCAGAGTGGAAATGCCCGGGGGGAGAGAGGCTGACTTTAGGGCGGGAAGGGCTCCTGTGGTCCCAGGCCCCCTGTTTCTGTGCTGGGAGGAAGTGGGGCCCCTGGGAGAGGATCGGGGCAGGGCAGGGCTCTCAGAAAGTGACTGGGAGAGGCCACTCTGGAGCTTGGGGCCTGTGACGGAGGGGTGGCCATGTGCTTTCCTGCTGTACCTGACTTCGGGCCCTTTCCCTCCCTCCAAGACAGCCATGCGAGCCTCCAGGCTCTTCTGACCACTCCGCAGACTGGAGCCACCCTCAGTGAGCCCTGGGCCTGGGGCTTGGAGATGGAGGTCCAATGACAGAGGGAAAAGTGCTTGTGTCAGGGGGCAGCCAGGGCCTTGCCTGCATGCATCTGTGGGTCCTGATCTCACGGAGCCCCTTGGGAGGGATGGTGCTCCAAGATCCCAAGAGGTAGACCGGAGGGTGCCCCTGGGGGTCTGAGACAATGTCATTCTATCCTTGGGGACAGCAGGGGGCCCTCCTGGGGCAGCCCAGCTTTCCTAGCTTCAGGGAGCAGCAAGGCTCTGCTTGCCCCGCTTCAACCCCAAGGTGCCCTCCTGGCCTGGCTGGGAGCTAGTCCTATAGCTGGGCTTGTGCTGGGCCTCCCATCATCTGGAGCCAGGTTCTGCCCCTGCTGCGACCCCATCTTGAACTATCCACATCCATCTTCCCTGGGTTGAGACCAGCTCTGGGCAACAGCCTGCCTGTCCTTCCTGGTGAGTGCCCAAGGGTCTCCCGGTCACCTGCAGACCCCACATGTGAGGCATATGCCATCCCGGGCAGCAAGCTCTGAGGTGTGAGACACACAGACCCTGGGCTGTCCGAAGTGCAGAGATATCCCTGTTTAATCCCTCCCTGCAGCCTCCCCAGCCCTGCCAGGCCCCACACCGGCTGCAGCTGCCCCAGACTGGGAATGAAAACAGGAAGCCTGGGTGGTAGGGGCCAGCTCCCCACCCACTCCAGAGAGAAAGTCCAGATGCCTTCCTGACTGATAACCCTTGTCTGCCTGCGGTAACCAAAGCAGAGGGACACTAGTGGGGTCGGGATCAGGGAGGCAGTGGAGACTTGGGGAGCAGGAAGCAGAGACACAGAGCACTGGGAGACTGCCCCCCTCCGCTGCTCCTGGCCCCGGGGGTGGAGCGCAGGCTCACCGCTCACCTGGAGGAAGGAAGCAGATGACAGGCATGCCCAGCCCAGACCTGTCTCTGTGTCTCGGACACTCCTCACCTGAGCGCACCTGATGCCCAACCCCCAGGCTATCGCCCCTGTGGCCCGTCCTGTCAGGATGCAGGCCCTTCACTCACAGCCCTTCCGCGTTCTTATCCCTACACCTCTGCTCATCCTGGGTCTCTGGCCTGGGAGCTCCCTCCTGCCCTTCTGCCCACAGCTGTCCCGGTACAAGGTTCCCATCTCACCGGCACAGGTCTAGCAAGGCCCAGATCTTCTACTCCTCCATCTGCCCTCTGCCCACCCCCGCCAAGTGCTTGGCACACACTGGGAACCATGTCCTGGCTGGTGGATGGGCTTCCGGGAGTCCCCAGGGCTCGAAGAGGAGGATGCCCCATTCCTATGGGGCCGCCAACTGCCAGCATCTAACCGGAAACCCCGTATCAGGGCAGAGGTCTGTGAAGGAGCCTGGCTGGAGCCACAGACAGAGGCAAGGGCTGGGTCACTCCTGTCTTATGTGACCGACATGTGTGCAGTGTCATTTTCTGAGAGCTTTCTGGGTCCATCCCCTCCAACCCTGCCCTCCCCTGCTCAGACCTCCCATGGCCCACAGCTCCCAGGACCCAGCCAGGCTCCCTCCATCTGCCCCTGCTCCTGTCCTGCCTTCCCTCTGACCCTGCTGCGGGCCTGCAGGTTACACCTTCTCAGGATCCTGTCCAGTGTCCTGGGGCCTGGCGGACCCTCCCTTTCCTCCTCCTGCCTGAGCCTGTGTCTGGGCTCATCCCCGTGGGCTCACCCTGCCTGCACCCCGTCCTCAGCCAAGGGCAGGTGAGTGGGTGATGAATTTCCAGGGACTTGGACTGTGAGAGAACTCCAGCTGCCGTGATCTTTCATACTACCAGCCACATGTGGCTATTCACGTATAAATTAGTTAAAATTCAGTGAAATTAGGAATTCAGTTCCTCAAGCACAGTAGCCACAGTCCAAGTGCTCGAGGGCCATCGGTGGCTAGTAGCTGATATATTGGACAGCACAGATATAGAACATGTCCATTATCATGGAAAGTTCTTTTGGATAGCTTTGGTCTAAACTTTTCCCACTGAGTAAAGGTGCAGAGGGAGCCTCTCATTTTGCAAAATGTTTGGGGCGTTCTGTGTTGGCAGAGCTTGCTTCCTAAGACCTTGCAGGAGGCACTCTCCATCCACAGGCTTGAGCTCTGAATTCCTAGACCTTTTCTGAAGCTTCCAGAAAGCCCTCAGGCCCACAGCCTCGAGGGAGCTGCCCAGCCAAGGTCTCTCTATTCAAGTCCCAGCTGTGCTCCACCCCAACCTGCCTGTCCCGGCTCCAGCCCAGGGAGGAGCTGCCTCCTGCGGCCCCACCTCTCATCCTGTCCACCAATACCCGGAAGGGTCTTATCTGCCCTTGGACTTTGGGCCTTACCACACCTGAGTCCTGATCCATCTGCCCAACTTCCCTCCTTCCCACAAATGTCTGGGTGGATACCTGTGAGCGCTGGTAACATTGTTCTGTCCCCTCCTTACTTGGGAGCCTGACTTTTCCCATCTGTGGCCATGGCTATGTATCCCCACTTCCAGAAAGCGTGAGCATCTCCATCTGTGGTCCATGACTGCCCTCTCTAGCCGAGACTAGGCCTCAGTTTCCCTGTCAGTGATATAACTGACTCCTTTCCCTGAGCCTGGCCGCCTCAGATTCCCCATACCTGATATCCTGGTTGCATGACTGACCGCCGCCCGCCAGTCCAGGCCTCAGTTTCCCTACCTTAGGTCATGGTCCACGATTGACCTCCAGCCCCACCCCACCCCAGCCAGTGTTTCCCATCAGAGTGCAGGAGCAGCTCCCTGCCCCTCCCGGCGCAGCCCAGGGCACTCACACAGCTGGGATTCCGGGGTCCTCATGACCTTGCGGGACTCCTGCCAAATGGTCTTGCAGTCCTCCTGCAGCTTGTAGAAGCGCTCTCGCCGCCATGAGTTGGACTTCACCTTCAAGAGCTGGCTGCCCTTCAGCAATGCCTGAAGGTCCTTGTCATCCTGTAGGCCTAGGGGACAGAGCTGGTAGGATGCCACCTCCTCTAGGGTACCTGCTGCCCCAAGCCCCATGCTGGCTCATTTTTCACCAGCCTCATCCTCAGCTCTCTATTCACTTCTCCCTCCATCACCCTTGCTCCAACCTGATACAGGATCCCTGCCTTCTCTGGGAAGGCATTTCTGATTCCAGGTGAGGCTGTGCAAACCTTAGGGTACCCACCTGTTGAAGGCCACACTTTATACGTAATGACCTGCAACCCACAGCTGAATGGACAAAGAACACATGGTTTCTGGGAGACCATACCCCTAGAAAATGGCCTGGCTCCAAAAGACTTAGTAGGCTCCTCCCTATCATACCTAGGGTTCAGAGTGACCTGAAGGAAGCTAGGACCAAAAGATCAGGCAGGAAAGAAGAGGGGTAAACACAAGTGGAAATGGATCCCAGAGCACCAGGAGTATCATAAGCCCAACAGCCTCCCAAGTCCAATGGCTCTGGAATCATCTATTGGGTCCAGGCTAGGCCTGCTGGGATGCTTCATCCCTCCCTGTCCACCCCATCTCTGAGTGGCCTGGGTCTGCTCTCAGGGTAGAGCAGCCCAAAGGCATAGTGCAGGCCTTTCCAAAGCTGAGGCAGCACCTGGCTCAAGGCCCCGCGGTAGGGAGAACCCTAACTGCCTGACCCCCTCCTACCCGGCTCCTTTCAGAGATGCAGGCTGGCCTGGGGCGTGGGATCCCACAGAGACAGTGTCCTTTGTCCTACTAGACCCAAGCAGGAGATACCAAAGGGGCACCAGGCCGAGTTTCACAGCATCCCTCATCCCAAGCAGACCCTGTGCCAACTGTGATCAAAGAGGGACCCCACACCACCATAATGACCCATCAATGTAACGGTGGAAGGTACATCTAAATGCACATCTTGAGCCTATCACCCAAGCCACATGGAGCCCAGCAGCCGGCACTGTTCAGAGCCAATAGCACTGTTCAGAGTCAATAGGTTTATCGGGGTCCCTTCTGTCCCCCCAAATGAAAACTCTGTGGCTTTTCAGCAGTCTTTATCCTGCTCAAGCAGAGTGGAGGCTTCAGAAACTGTGTGTGTCCAGTGTGAGGGGCCTGTGCCTAGGCCTACTACAGGCTTTTCTTGTCTCAACCCAGATCCCCAGCCCGATAGGTTCTCCCACTTTATCCATGACCCCACTCCCTACCCCCAGCCAGCCTGCTCCAGACGCACATAGGACCTCCAGAATCTTCTGGACCACTTCCCCAGGCCTCAGCCTCTATCCCTCCCTAGTCACCCTCCTCCAGTGGGAACATAGCCCCATGCTAACGCTTCCCCCTCCACGATTTTAGGCAACTTCCTTCCCTCTCTGAACCTCTATTCCGCCATCAGCACTGGGTGATGTCTGATGTGACCTTCCCTCACCTTTGTTTCAAGTCTCCCCACCTCCCTGCCTTAGTGTCAGCAGTTCCCCTTCAGCCCCAGGGGAGGCCCAGTGGAGGAGAAGGCTCCTACAGAATGTCCTCAACTGCTGGCTATGTCTTGGGGGCTCAAGAGAAAGGACGGAGAGAAGGTCGTTCCCACTATCTTCTAGAGGAGAGAGCCGCTCAGCCTCAGCTCAGCTGGGGGATCCCACTGTCCCTCCTGAGGCTGAGGTCAGCTGAGAGGGACATCCCCTTACCCTCTGCTTGCACCCCCACCCCCATCCCCACCCAACTGGGGCATCAGGGGGTGAACACGCATGGCACAGATGGGAGTGGGGGCACAGGGTCGGAAGGCTGTGGGAGCTCCACCCTCCAGTTCTGGAAAACACCGTGAGCAGATGACACGTTCATCCTGTCCTGGAGCCAGACTGCAGCCCTGTCGGCAGTCAGGCAGAGATAAGTCCCTTGGCTGCCAACATGGCTTCCGGAACACAGACCTTGGTCCCAAAGGGGCTCTTGATAATAGTGGCCCTCCAGGCTGCTGGGAAACCTGAGCAGATACCTCCTTCTCTGAGCTTCGTTTGAGGCCCTTTTGTTTCTGCCCCCGGCCCTTGCTCCCTTAGCACCCAGAAGGTCCATAGGCACCCCTTCACCCAGCCCCACTCACTCAGGTGTAGCACCTTCTCCCTTGGGAAGGTGGCACAGAGGGGCCTCTGAGCTCAGGGACCCCTGGGTTGACCCTGCAGCCTCATTAGTCTGCCCAGGCTAGTGGCATATAATGAGGTGGCCACATGGGGAGTGCAGAGGAGTTGCAGTGCTAATAGGAGGGGTGTATGATGCCAAGAGCCCTGCCCATGTGCCTGGGTGATGCCCAATGAAGACAAACTGAGTCTGGAATCCAAAGCAGTGCACAGCTACACAGATACAGCCACACACAGTCACACAGTCCACCATACTCATCATACACTGCCGTACACAACCCGGAAGAGACAGTGGGTCACACACAGTGACACGCATTGTTACATGGAGTCACACACAGCCAAACAAGGTACAGTGCCAGAACATCATCATTGTCATAATGATAGTAGCCACCATAATAATAGTTCATATTTAAGTAAGATCCTGATCTTAGCACATGTATTTAAGCACCCCAACAACCTTAGGAGGAAGGCAATACTGTTCCCATTTTACAGATGATGAAATTGAGGGTCAAGGAAGTTACACGGTGGAGTTGGGACTCAGAAGCCTGCCCACAGCATCAGTGCTAGGAAACGTTACCTTATACAGCCATCACTCGGGCATGCTGCCACAAGGAACAGCAGCAGAAAATCTATAGAATACACACACCATAACGCAGATGACAGAATCACCCAGCTGTCTGGGTCACCCACTGTCACATTTGTCACCCACAATCAAACATGGTGTGTAGCATCACATTGGCTCACACACTGTCACGCCGGTGCCATTTGATTACACAGCATGGCATATCCTCATTGCCGCACAGTGGTCCCAAGTACCATACAAGTGACAGAATTACCACTAGGCGTGTAAGCACGATGGTTTGAGAGTGGCAAGGGGCAGGGTCACCAATCCCCCCAGTACTCACACCACATGGCAACCCTGCCAAAAGAGCCCCACTGCGAGTCATACACTCACAGAAGCACTAAACAGGTCCAGGCCCCGAGACACACAGTCTGCGTCCTGCTCCAGCTGCCTTCCCAGCCTCCCCTGATCTCCGGACCCTTGAATCCCTTACCCAGCCTCTGCCCATTGAGCGCTGCCACCTTGAGGCTCTGTTCCTGCAAGTAGAGCTCTCTGGAGCGGCTCAGTCTCCGGCTCGGCCTCCGGACCCCAAAGCACTGCATGATGTTCCGAAGTGCCCCTGCCGCCCAGCAAACCTGGCCCGGGACAGTGCGGTGTCCAGAAGGCGGCTGTGGCTCTAGGGGCGGAACCACCTCCTCGGAGGGGAGCAAGGGCGGAGACCTGGAGTAGTTGGGCGGAGCTAGAACCGGGGGGCGGGGCCTGGATGGGTGGAGGGTGGGGCTTGAGTCTAGAGGCGGGGCGATACAGAAATCAGCAGTGAAGGGGCGGAGCCATATCCTAGGAGGCGGGGCCAGTTCCAGAGGGGTAGAACCGATGCCTCCGGGAGATGAGGGGAGAGTGGAATCAAGGCGGGGAGAGGAGGGGCCCGAGCTCAGAAGGCGGGGCGCTCCGAAGGAGGAGCCGGGACCAGGAGGCGGGGTGGGACAAGTCCATAACCCAGGAAGCAGATCAGTGGCGAAAGTCAGAGTCCAGAAAGCGGGCTGGGGCGGAGCCAGAGCCAAAGAGGCGGGGAGCGGGAGGAGCCAGGTCTGGGAGGCGACTTGGGGCAGAGTCAGACGCAGGAAGACGGCGGGGGGCGGAGCCAGAGTCCAGGGGACGAGCCGGGGGAGGCAACAGCGATGGAAAGCAAGGCCGTTTTGGGGCAGGGAGGGCGGTACCTCGACTTTGGAGGCAGTGTGGGGGCGGAGTCCGACCAAGGTGCGGAGACTGAGCCGGGAATCCTAAACACTCAGCTGGAGACCTGGCGGCGGACCAGAGGACTGGGCGAGATTGAGCCGAGGAGGGAAGCCCGGCCCGGCGGCGGCCTGGGCTGCAGAGTCTAGCGGACAGCCGGGTGGGGCCAGGCCAGGCAGAGTTGAGGATGGAGCTCGGCCGGACACCGGAGCCCGCCAAATATTTTACCTCAGTTACTCAACGAATCCATTGTGACTGAGTGGGCCGCTGCTTCACATGTGAATCCCAGGTAGGCCTGTTTCCTTCTCAGGGAGTTTCTCTACCTGAGTGGGATAATCTCCAAGGTGCCAAATGCGAATGGAATTCTTGAAAAAATGCTGATCTTAAAAATGAGTCCATTAACACAGGCTTGCTTTGATAAATAGGTGAGGACTCTATATGAAACTGTGCTGCCAGTGTGCTCGGGAACAGTGGGATCTTTCATGTAAGTTACCACCCCACTTTCATTCACCCAGCAATTATTTATTGAGCCCCTACTGTGTGCCAAGGTCAGGACATCACCCAGACGCCTGACTCACTCCTTTCTTTTACTCTGCCTCTGAACAGTTCCTTCATTTGCCTCACTGCAGCTTGTCACCAGCACTGACAGTGAGTCACTCAAAGCCAGTTTTTAGCACGGACAAGCATGGCAATAATAATAATAAACTGAAGTGCAGAGTGACTTGCCTAAGGTCTCACCTTGGAGAATTATAAAGCATGGGAACCTGTGTTAGTGAAGGTGAGCTGGAATATGGGCACAAACAAGTTGTTCTTCATTTGCAGTGAAGGGAGCTGAGGGTAAGGAGAAGCCTCTGTTTTAAAGAAACCACACAATGGTTTTTAACCAGAGAGCCAAGGACTCCTCGAGGACCTATGGATAGAATCACATCTCAATATAATTTGCTTCCTTCGAATTCTTATGTATTTTACTTTATACATGTAAAAACTTGATCCTGAAAAGAGGTCCACAGGCTTCATCTGACTGCTAAAGTGGTCCATGGCACAAAAAAGTTAAGATCAGTGTGATCAGTGTGTGTCCGTGTTATGTGGGCCTGGAATCCCAGGGACAGACATGTTGGAAACAATCGAGGTGGGTCGGGGGTTGCAGGGGGGAAAAAGGCAGTTAAGGGAGGTAATTTTGGGTGATGAGCTAGAAGCAGCAGGGCCTCCAGGGGAACAGCTTTGGATTGCAGGGTTCGTGCCAGCTCCACAGGAAGGGCTGGGCAGTCAGGCACTTGAGAGGCAGGTCTCAGACAGGACGGGCCAGGGCTGCCAAGCCCATGCCACAAGACTGGGAGGTGCTAACTGAGACTCCGTGCGGCTCCCTCTTCAGGCAAGATACCAGGGCTTCCTAGAAACAGAGACTCCTGGAGAAGGGAATGGCAACCCAATCCAGTATTCTTGCCCGGAGAATTCCATGGACAGAGGAGCCTGGTGGGCTACAGTCCACGGGGTCACAAAGAGTTGGACACGACTGAGTGACTAAGCATACACACACACACACAGTGAAAGAGACTGGACAAAGGCACAGAGGCCAGAGGCTGGAGCCCATCCCATGATCTGAGGCTGCAGCTGTGTCAGAGGCCACCAGAGGGCTTATAGGACGTCTGAGTGTGAAGCAGGCACGGAGGAGGTGGCCGTCTGCAGGATAGACAGCACTAGCTAAAGGACGATGAGAAAGAGGTCTCTCCTGTGATCCTCTGAGCCGCCCAGCCTCCCTGCCAGTCTGGAGGAGCACAAAGGATACCTCTGTCCTGAGGGAAGAAGAGGGGGCACTGGAAAAGGCAGGGATCCCACAGCCCAGCTGGAAGAGTTTGCCCTGAGAGCCCAGACAACTGGTAACAGGGTAACAGCTCTGGGCACTGAACAAGGTCTCTCTGGGCCATGGGGCCCAGGTCTGAGCCAACCAGGAAACATGAGACAGACTGGGTACTGGCTGAAAGGAACATCTGAGTCTCCCTGAGTTCCAGGGGGTCTCTAGTGGACAGCTGGAAGGCTCTGCCTTTCCCCTTCCCATCTATTACTTCCACTGCCAGCACAGAAATCATGGTCTAGATGGATAGTTTCCTTGATTTAGACCATCCAGCATGGTTTAGATGGATAGGTGGTGGGCACTAACCTCTTGGACTCCAGGGGTACTAGAAAACAGGGAGATTGACTTAAGCAGTGATCAGAGTGAGAGAGGCAGGGTTTGCTGAGCTGGCAGATAACCTGGGAGGCAAGAGTGCAAAGCCCTCTAAGAGTGGGTAAGCCCCCAGGCTGGCACAAAGAGAGGCCAGGTGCAGGTTGGGGACCCCGTGCAGCTAGGACACCCCCCTCAGTCCCTGCAGTCCGGAGGCCAAGGCTGCTCTCTCTCCTGGAGAGGGTGCGATAGGACAAGGAGCTGGTCCAAGACTGTTTCCCGGTCGTTCGGAAGAGACAGAACTTGGCTGGACAAAGCTGAGAGCCACAGGCAGTTAGAGTGGAGACCCGAGCCTTGTCCGGCCAGGAGGGCACGCAGATGGGGGCGACCGGGCTGCTCTTCCCAGCCCGGGGGTCGCTGACCATGATTTCTGCACTGGACAGTTACTGCGGCATGGCCCCACCTCACCTCGCACACCTCCTCGCCCCACTGTTCCCACCCCGCATCACTCACGCGCCCGGACGCGGTCCAGGCACGCCTGTGCTCTGGGGAGCCTCTCCGGGCGGCCTGGACGGGGCGGAGAGAACTTGGTTATCCGTGGATGCCGGTTCCTTCCCTCCTCGGCCCATGCGAGCGCACCAGACCCTGGAGCCTAGCCTTCCGTGACCAGGATAAGGGAGTGGGGTCGCCCCCAAGGCCACGGGGCCGGGGGTCGTCTTTAGGGAAGTCTTCAGACTCGCACACCCGTTTTCTCCCCACCGGCCGGATCTGCGGGACAAGCCTGGAAACGCCCAGGGTCGCGCCCGGCAGTCGGGTCGAGATTTCCTCAATGCGACAAAAGGGCCGAGGGGCGGGCCCGGGGCGGGGCGGAGGGCGGCCGAAGGAGCAGGGGGTCCCCCGCCCTGGGCCGGGGACGGCTTTTCGCGGGGTCGGCCCAGGAGGGGACGCCCCCCCGTCCCCCGCTCCCCGCGAGAGGGCCGAGCACTCACCGTGCAGGGTCAGGAAGTCCCGGCCCGAGTCCATGCCCGACGGACGGCGTGGCGGGAGGGGTACGCCGCGGGACACCCGTCCGCAGCGACAGCGCAGCGGCCTCGGGTCCGAGCGGAGTGTGATGGAGGGACTCGAATGGACTGCGGGGGGCAGGAGGCCGGAGGTGGGCCCGGGACTCCGCCCCGCCCCCCGCCCCCTGGGCCCTCCAACCCGCGCCTCTCCCCGCCCCTCCTGGGGTTTGGCTGGGAGGGCAGAGGTGGAGGCCTGGAAGCCCGGCCATCCCTGGCCCAGGCCTGTGGGCGCGTCCCGGACAGAAATAGCCAGATCCCTCTGGCTTCCTCCGCCGCCGCCACCCACAGGCCGCGGGCCCTGTCATTAGCGCCGGCGGCCGGGCCCCACGCCCTGCCTGTGGGCGCTTCGCCGGGTTACAGTGATGCGCGAAAGAATCTGCGTCCTCTTGGGACCGGGACGGCGTAACGTTCGACGCCCATCCCGGCTGGTGCAGAAGGCAGCCTTGGAGTCCAGGCGTCCAGCCGCGGCTCCCCGGATGTCTGCTTTCTCTTCTGCAGAATGGGTGCATTCCGAGTTAGAAGGTCCTCGGAAAGGCATGCCCGGATCTAGTCTGCAGAAGGGTCCCCTTCCCTCTCTCTGGGAAGTTTCTAACCCTGGGAGTGCCTTTGGCGAGGGCTGGGGCAGAAGCCATAAAACTTAAAAGTCGGTAGTTGCAGAGAACTCTCCTTTGAGCCCCTCACACCCCAAACGCCTGGCGATCTGTACAACAAAGTGGGGGACAGAACCCAGGACATCTCCAAGGTTCCTTTTTTGGGTGGCATCCCAAGGGACTGTCTGGACAAGGGGTACCCTTGCCCCTACTCCCACAATCAACTCTTGCAGTCCTGACACACTTTTTATCAAGTACCCAGAGAACCCCCGAAATCCCAGAATCCTGCTGCCCACCAACTTTTGGGAAATGCCTTGTGAGAGCCCCCAGAAGACCTTCCAGGATGGGGGTGGTGATGGTGCTGAGCCCACCAGTGAATCCCCCAGGCTTCCTGGGCTGATGAAGCCAACAGTGAGAGTCTGACAGAACCAGCTGGACCCCAGCGCCTCCCCCTCCCAGCAGAGGCAGGTCTGGGTGGCCTTGAATACCTCAGGAAGGGATGTAAGCCAGCCAGAGGCCAAGTCGTCCAATCGTGATGATTGAGGCTGGGTCAGGAC